AATCCTGGGGGGGTGGGGGGGGGGGGGCGCATGAAATGATTCATCGCTATATTTAGCATTCGCGTTTGCAAGGCACCAAGCACAACAGAGAAATAGGGTACATCGTGCACCAACCAGCTTTAGTTTGCAAAATGTAGTGCAGATCATCGTTGAATAGCTGAAGCTTCGGTAGGTACACGCAGCACCCTTGGTTGCCGAAAAAGCTGAAGCTTCGAAATAGGTACTACAGGCGTAGCAATTCCGCTCGTCCTATTCACCTGCCGACTCGAACGCCGCCGAAACCTTAGCGAGAATTCCTTTGACCGAAAGCTGAAGTTCTTCCACGACTTGCATCGTTACACTGTCGTAATCGCTCGAGTACCAACTTGGGATTTCGCCAGCATTGGCAAGTGCTGTCGAACTGCTGTTTCCAACGGTGACCGTGCTGTTTGCCGCCATCCCGCCCCCACCCTCGCCTGCTCTCTCTCCTCCTAGCCGCACTTCTTGCTCTAAGATAGAATCCAAGAAGGTAGGGTCACGAAGAAGCTCATCGATGACTCGGGCATCCAAATCTGATAACTGAGGGTATCAAGCAACGAGCAGAGGTGCGTGTTACTGATGTATACCGTAGTCTAGACTTGTGAGAACGACGCCGCGTGTCTCACTCGCCGTGCTTGCAAGAGACAGCCGTCGATGAGACATCTCAACGTTGACCAGCTCACGGTTCATCAGTGAGAAGGTGGTGACGGTCCAAGTGGCAGAAAATATGCCATATCTACTGTCGCCAAACTCTCTTTGGAAGGCCAGCCTTGGCTCTGTCGCTACAGAACACAACAGCTGCAAGAGTCTGGTGTGTGCTGCTGCTTACGACCTACATTTCAAATAGACACAAACATCGGCAACATCGGCAAAATAGCGAGGGACATCCTAAAGCTATCAATGTGAGGTAAATTTGAAGGACAAGTAGGACACGAATCACCAACCTGTCTAGTCGCATCTGCTTCCTCGGTCGCGGCAAACAGGGGCGTGCTCTGCCTCCTTCCTGCTGCACGACATGCATCAACACATCGTGCAGGAACGCCGACTCTTGCCGAGTTACCTCTCGATGATGGTACTTGAACTACATGTAAGAACCCACCAGCCCAGTGAAGGGACGCCAATCCAACCAAGACGATCACTTTTCCTTTCTGCATGGTCCCTCTACATACGCAGAGCAGATCCTGCTCTCGATGCACTCGACATCCAACCGGGGGGTGTATTTGTTGTGTCCTCAATTGTGTAGGATGTGTGTTGTAAGTGTAGGTGTGTAAAGCGGTCCCTTGCGGTGATTGGGCAAGATTGGCGGTCCCGCGCGCACCCAGAGGTCCGTAACCCGTAGCCATCTTCCTGATTCATTCATGTTGAACTTTGTGTTACCCACTCTGTGCCGCTCCCACCACTCTCGTTACTCTCGCCCCCCCTCCCCCCCCCTCTCTCTGTGGTGTGTGCGTGCGGGTGGCCTGGTCGTCGCTGACGAAAGAAATGAAGCTAACCGTCGGCGTGGCCTCCTTCTCGCTGACCGTTGTATACGCGTTTCAGGCACGTCCTTTGGGAATACCGCAAGGAGGTGGGCGACGTTCAACGGCTGCGTGAGTCTAAACATTTGAGAGCCAGCTGAATGTATGCATAGCTCATCACACGCCTGCATTTGATCTGTTCGTCTCCTCTCGGAACCATTTGTGGTTAGAAGAACGCGGATTTCAGGATCGCGACGGGAACCGATGCCACATCCACGGGTACTGCTGCAGCAGCTGCTGTAGTTTTAGCTGCAGCTGCTGTAGTTTTGCTACTCCATGGTTGTAGAATTATCGGCTATTGGTCTACTATGTAGACTGCAGTACGCTGCGCTGTGCCGCTGTGTCCCCGTGATTCAGTAGCAAGTACCATGGGCGGCAACAGGGGGCTTTGCCGCCTCGGCAACATTTCACAGGAAGGGTGGACACGCCTAAAGGTTTCAAATACCAAATCCGATGACCTCACAATCATCGCTCCCGAACGTATTTGGTGTGCGCGTCATGAATGTAATCACTGCCGTGTCATCTGTACAACGTACAGTAACAGTAGATATCGGACCCGTCAGCCCCCTTCGCGGAGAGCTGAACTTTGTCCACGAACACAATCGCATCATGTAACCTCTTCGTGCCGCCGATCGAGACGCGATGTGATGCACACAACACCACGTTGATTGTGCTTGTTGCCGTGGAATTGCATTGGGTTGGACTTCGATCTCTTCTGTGCTGTTTGCAAGCAAATCTGATCTTCACAACTACGCATACCATATAGAATAGTATGCATATGAAGCAATGGCCCCAACACGTTTCTGGGTGTGGTTCGTTTGCAGGTTAGCATCGACCGATGGCTGGGTCGCCCTGCCGGTGAATCCCTCCGCAGGTGGCCGGTCCAGAACAGTTTCGTTTAGCCCTTCCAACCTGGAAGACTTGCAGGTCGTTGAAAAAATTCTCCAACAAGATCAAGGTAAATGAACAGACTACCTGTAGATGGGCCGTTCGTTCTCTAGCGAGACTTAATAAATACATTATCACCGCTCTCTCGTCAAACTCCAGCCTGTTTGTTCGTTTAGCATTTAGTCGTTGATTTGGAGTACTGCACCTCTAGATACAAAGTTCCACACATGCGCCCCCTTTCCGTCAAAGCCGAAGGCCACATTACACGGTTGTGTTTACCAGGTACTGTATGCTCAGCTTGCAAGGTGTGATCTCGTCAACTTGCGGCGCGTCCCTACTCCGGTATGCTCTGTGTTCCACTGGCCTTAGTCCTTACACCCCATCCTGTTTTGTGTTTCGTCTTATTTTGTAGTCGGTGAGGCTTGCGTCTTGATCATTCCGAGCTGGCGGCATCATCCTGTCCAGTATGACTGCCTGTCAGCCTGTTTAGAGGCCCTCAAGATCCCCACTGCGGTGCAGCCCCTTCCCGATGGATTGTGGGCACTTCTCCTTCAACGCCTTCAGGTGAACCCTTGGAATATGTTGTGGTGGCCTTACGTGCACAGCATTATTTCTTTGTTTCAGGACATGCCCGTTGGCGGGCTTCTGTCCGGAAAATGTCCTGCTCTAGGCAGTGCACGAGGGTTACTTGCACCAGGTTGTGTCGAGCAAGCACCATCGTTCAGCGAAGATTGCAGCCAATAGTGATGTGTTTGTTCGCTGGGTAAAACGCAGGTGCACTCTGCAGTTGTTGCCGTTCGTAGTTGTGATCTCGTCGAGTCCTGTGGAAACCACCAGGTACATTCATTGCGCAAAGCTGCGAGGAAAGGAGTCCTGGAACAACTGATCGTGCACGCTCTGCATAGGCCATTTAATCATTTGGATCTAGCGCTCAGATTGCACTCGGATCGGAACACCGGGCGTCGTATAACCGTCATCGCATCGGACGACTCGGCGTGGCTTGTGAGGGCATTCGTGAACAGCCGCTCCCAACAGTGGCGTAAAGAGGTGCCTTTGGACACGGCGGTACTCGTCGGTGGGTATCATAAGAGCATTGTTGGAGATCTAGCCTTGGATGTCTTTCCCAACCCACCACCATCACCACCTCCGGATGGACGCGTTGTTAAGTTTTTCAGCTTGAACGGTCGCGAAGGTGGTCGCGTGGATGGGAATGGCGACATTGACCTAGAGGCTTCGATATCGTGCATGTCGTTTGAAGAAGACTCCGAGAGCTGTATCCTCCAGGAGTACGAGGTTGAACACAGCGGTTGGCTCTCTCTGCTAGGATCAACCTCTCTGCTGAGCTTATGGGTCCCTCGTGTTTTACGTGCTTAAAGGCCGTTCTTTCTGTAGTTAGGTATCCTGGTTGCTATCTATGTCGTGTGTGGGAATCGTGTGGGCATCCGGCTAGCTGTTATGGTATTAGTAGTGTCCATTGCCGGTGGTGTACGCAGCGTCTTCCGCGTGAAACTTAACCTTGTACAACTTGTCCAGAGATTTTGTTGAAATTGTGTTGTTTTTGACATAACCGATCACGTCCACGGCTGTTATTTGTGACCTCTTCCGTACGGTCGGTTTTGGTATGGTTTTTGGTCACCATAGCAGCAGTTAATCGCCTGCTCTCCGTCGTGTGCACTGAAGCCACGGTATTGGAAAGGACCCGCACCCTGAAACATCAGATAATACATCATGCTGGTGATGGGCAAAGCAAAAAAAGGTCAAATAGAGCTCCAGGGTAGTATGCGAATGTCGAAAGGTTCGAGGCCATTGCCAACAAAAATAACAAAGGGGTGACAACGAATAAATCGCCCGTCCACAACCAAATCACACAATAAAATAACAAAATAAAACACCCACACACAATTCTACTTCAAAAAGCTTGGGTCAACGAACGTCTGCGATTTGAAGCTTGTACGTTCTCCGTAATTTCACAATGACATCCACGATATTTGTGCGAAACCTGTGTTGATTTTCTTAGTGGTGGTATAGCTCGGTTCAAACAACCCTCTGTAGGCTCTGTCCTACGGGAGGGGGTAATCGCCATTGATGGCAACATTCTGCAAACGTGTACGAACTTCAGCTGTAGTTATCCAATAAGTCTGCCAAAGATAAATACCTCCTTTCTTTTCAATTATGTCTATGTTTTCGCAAAATACTTTCAAGTATTTGATAGTTGTAGAAGGTTGAGAAGTGATATTTCTCTCTAGAGAGTGAAAAAAACTCTACAATTTCGGGTGGAAAGCAAATAATAAGTGAGTATTTACACGCTTCTATTCGCGGTCGATGAGGGAAAGGGGCGGCTGAACCCTTCTTCTCGCAACTAAACAAGGCTAAAACCGCAGGAGAAAAAGGTAGCAAAACATCAAAAGTAAAAACTCCTGTGTGACCCCTGCTAATACGTCAAACATATGACTACTTCTTCCACAGTGTAGATGATAAAAAAAATGTCGTTTCTCTTCATGGTTGATTGGGGTTCGCTGGGCTCTTCGAGTCAAGATACGTGTTCAGTTGTTTGAGCTGTTAAGCTTGGGAAACGTCACAACTTGCAACTGGTGGCCAGCTGGGGGCCGGTCCTGCTGCCTGCTTGCATCATCATCCGTTGATGACACTGTTGTGTTCTCCTAAGCCGCACTCTGGAGGGATCCCTTGCATACATCGAGAAACCGGTGCCAACAGAAGGGAAGAACACACACAGATCCCACCACAGCCAATTGGTTTGGATTTCAGTAGTGCGAGCGAAAAGGAGGATGGGTGGCATGAAGGGAAACACATTAAACGAAGAGGAGGAATTGTTTAGGGAAGAGAATAGAAGGATGGAAACGATGTTGGAGGAGGAACATATGGCGTGGAAGAACAGAGCAAGAGTTTCGAGCCCGGTGACCTTGTGCTCACAACAATCATACATGGCGAGAATAGAGAGGAGCCGCCAAAGAATATCACTCTGACTGGTAATTTGAAATTTTGGCGACGAGAGTGTGGTCGTGAATGCAAGGAGAATGGATGATGAAATTCACCTCCGAAATGAACACGCGTGCGAAGTACCTTCTTGGCAAAACACACGTACGTGCAGTTTTCTTCTGTTGCCACCGCTTCTGTCTTCTCAATCCGGGGAGCCTCCCCGATGACGCTCTCTCACGGGATCCCAGTTCATGACCATTATTACAGTAGAATCAATATGTTCTGTTTTCAACCGCACTGAAACTGACGTCTTTTCATTGGTCACCTGTTAGCGCGGTCGATGCCAACAATAAAAACACAGAGGAGACCGGTTGCCACGGACGGGTGTTCAGTCGGCTATTTATTTAGTGTATTAGTCTACTCTCTTGTGTTCTATTTGATTGAGCAGCTGTAGTTTGCGGGTTTGCGTTTGCCTACTGCAAATATGTAATGTGTGTAGCTACTATTTCTTCAGGTAGGTACTCGCGATCAAGCTATTTAGAAACAGACACGGAAACACCGCGAACCCCACGTTGAAGGCAAGCACCAGAGAAAGGTAGGCGGACAAAGAATCGAACGTAAGCATGCAAACACACATAATATTTGCCTATTACCTTCTATTCTCGGTGGCCTCGGCTGGTCTGGTACTTATCTACTGACATGTCCTGATGATGGAGACTGGTGCCCAGGATAGGATACTACTGTAGTTTTATTAATAATACTGCTGCAGAAGAAGTAAGTAGGTAGGACGAACACTGAAAAAAAAATGCGCACCATCGATCCATCTAGACTATCTGGAGCGTAGTGCTGTAGTGCGGCTGCTGTAAAATCTGGTGTTGTTGTTACAGCAGCGTGTATTCGTTGATGGCACGTAGAGTACGGAGCAGGCGGAGTACCGCCGTACGACGGTACGGAGGCTGCGTCGTGTAGCGGAGTAGGTAGCAGCGCGTCAAAGCGGCGAGAATTTGATTGGTCCATGTATCCAGTCCAAGCGGCGGGATTCTATTGGTCATTTCGCCAATTCGCCCATTCCAATATCCCGTTCTCCTGTAACTCCAGTGCACCGCCGCACGACCCCCCGCCCCCCTCACAACAGGCACACCAGACACGCGCGTGAGAGAAAAAGACAGAGGCAGCACGCACTTCCCGAATGACACGTTCAGCCCACCGAAGATATGGAGTTGGCATCGCTCTGTGGTTGATGGTGCTGATGATTGCCATGAGCTTAGTCTCGATGGAAAGCACTGACGATGCGATCATGGTGAGAAGGCGGAGGAAAGAAAAAGTGGAGACTAAGATCAACACAGGGGCGGGGTATGCAACAACCATCGCTCAGCCAACTGCGCTAAGCCAACTGCATCGTTTCGGCCACCTTCTATTTTGTCAGCAACGTACCGCAGTGCCGATTGGCATCCAATACACTGCTGCAGCAGCCGTTTGTAGAACAATCTCCGTAAGTACGTGCCTCGTGTGTCCTTGTCTGTCGCTTCTTAGGGCGCCAAGTGTCTGCCGACAAACCAACTCGTCGTCCTTTGCTTGTCCGTCAAGTCTTACGATGCACAGGGGAACCCTTTCGACCTCAGCACGGAGGCCTTGGCGTCTATCGCCGATCTAGATGACTATCCCATCGAAGACAACGATGCTGCTCGAGCTGACCGCATGCTCGCGGCCCTGGAGTCCATCCCTGAGGGCGAGCGCCAAGGCATGGACCTAGACGTGGAAGCTTTGCGCTCGAAGCCCCTTGCGGAGCGGTTGGCCAAGTTACAGGGGCTATGGGAAGTACGGCAGCAGGAACTCCGCGAGGCTTACGACGCGATGCCTAAGGTGAACGAATTACTGATGGAACGGATCGACATCCTGAACAACGCCGACGCAACGGATGGCGCCCTGACTGGCGCTCTCACCGACCTGGAGGACCTGCTGTCGGATATCGACATGGCTAGAGATTTCCATACTATCGGAGGATTCCCCACGCTGGCTTCCATGCTCCGCTGTTCGCGACCAGAAGGTGTTCGTGAACTAGCAGCCTGGGCAGTCGGCACTGCGGTGAAAAATGAGCCTGAACATCAACTGTGGGCGTTAGAGGTGAGCACAAACACCAAGAACAGCCATGGGAGTATGAGGTTGGCAAGCAGCGGCACGAAGGCGTCGCCCCTCGTGTTGGAATGAAACAGTCCTCCACTTTGGAGCGGAAGAGGGGCGATACCGTTGGTAGAAGCGCAGTTCGGAGCATTTTATGTATTCAGGAGATCAGTACGATGACACATTCCGTACTGAGTCTTGGCAGCGTCCACTATCGCGGCAGATCTCGCACCAGTGGCAATTCCTCTCCGACGATTCCGACATTGTACAAGGTTGTACGCACACGGTTTCCACGGCGGTTCTGTCTTTATTCGTGAGGATCCTGACACGATGGCTGCCCTCTTCTGTCGTTTAGTACCATAGTTGGGGCTGGCTGGTGAGAAGAATCTCAGTCACTGCGGCTCATTCATCTTCGAATGTCCTCCACAAAATGAGAAATTTTCAAATTCGTCAAGAAAGTACAATCAAGGTAGACAACACACACACTTTTCACGCATACATACAGCAGCAGACTTGTATCTCCTTATCACCTGCCGCCCTTTTGGTTGGTTGTATGCATATATACATGGTGTGCCCAGGTCTGAAAGTACTGCACATTGCGGAACATGATTGATTGCGAGAGGGGACAGTTCTTTGCGGTGCCAATGACTTGCAATAGTGAAGCTCTACCTTTTATGTCCATCGACGGTCGATCTTCTGAATGAACGCGTTCAACACCAAACCAATATTTATTGACACATTGCAGCGAGAGGCAACGGACGAAATTCAACGTATCAAGTTCCTAGTGATTCCGCGCGTTTCGGTTGACGTGGAAGCAAGTCACAACATGACGTGCACAGATGCTATGATGTGTCATCTGGAGAAACAGACGAACGGATCCATCCAAGATAGCAGCCCGATTTCGTTTTGGAGCAGATTCGAATGGGCGCAGTGTGGCCGGGAGTTATCCTTACGCGCGCTGCGCAAATACGTTAAATACCCTTCCCTCGAATCTCTAACAGGACACATCGCTTTGCTATCGTTGTCCTTGTCTTCCAAGTGACAAGCCGTCTCGACCTCTTGTATTACCGCCGTGTGGTCACACGGTACCCCACAATAGCACAGAAACAAATGTGAAGACCCAGATACAATCCTAACCACTCCCGAATCTGACAAAAAACATGCTAAATACAGTATCGATGTGTGTGTGACGTGTGAGAGAGCCAACACATATTCCTCGGGCTGCCATCTTGTCTGCGTACGCTGCTGCATAACAAACAGGACGGTCCTGATTCCCAACCCTCGGTGCTGGCTCTTCTGCTGGAAAACGCCATGGCCGCCACGACCCCGACTCTGAGAAGCAAAGTTGTCTATGCACTTTCAGCGTGCTTGACAAATAGTGGTGATGTACAGCTTCAGTTCGGCTCGCGAATGGGAGAGGCCGTGCTTTCAGCGATGTACGGTGCAGATGGATCAGATCGCCGTGTTAGAATGAAGACCCTCACCCTCATGTCAGATTTGCTTCAAGAGGCTGCGAGAGGCTCGCCGGCAGCTGTTCTAGCCACGATGCCTGTTGGCTCCACGGCTTCGTCGGGCGGGGCCTGGTGTCGCCGAGTAGATGAAGCGCTGCAGCATGCACATTCTCCAGCTGCGCTGGAAAAGGCGATCGAAGCTGTTCAGTCTTTTACACCCTCGTGCAGGGATCAATTTGCACAGCTCGACACAAAACGACGATTAGAAGGCCTAGCCCAGCAATGCCGTTCATCGCCTCCGGAGGGGTTCGAGGTAGCAGAGGAAGAATTTCACAAGGAATTGACCCAGAAATTGGAAGAATGTGCTGTCGCTCTTCGATGACCCGAGCAGAGTAGTGTGGCATGTAGTGGTACTTTCGACGAGCTTGTAGGCTATATGAGCGACTCCCACTTTCGTAGGAGTTTGAGGTGTTTGCTTGGACGAAATCACTGTTGTTGGTTTAGTCTACACGCTGCAGCCGCCAGGACAGATAGCGCGCATTTCTCGGGCCTTCGCCATGAACCGTGTATGACGCTTGCGTGTTGACGTGATGCCCTAAGCATATACCCGGACCCAATACCCCCGCGCGCGGGGCGGGGGCGGGGGGCACACAGGCAAAGAGATGTTGGTATGGTTTGACATAGGAGTACACAGCAGTTAGACGTGGCGTCGTGGATAATAGATTACGTTCTATCGATGGCCGCAATACGAGGCTTGTACATGGGAAAATGAATGCAAAATATGCATATATGAATTTTTTACATGCAGATGAAGATATTTTCAGCACGGGACTCGACCCGGGGGCCCCTCTCTTCGGGTGATCGGAGGTACCAGACCAAGTCGCTAGAGATGTGTACCCCATGCAACCGAATGAGACAGACCACTCGAGCCTACATGTACATGCATCAAACGAACACGACATGGGCATGTACAAAGGGGCACCTAAAAGGAGAACCCCGGGGTTCGGTACTAACCTGTGCATCGTGTGTATGTGAGTTCAAGACCCTACGCCGAACATCTGCGATCTCAGTACATTCAGAGTGGAACCATCCCCCAAGTACAGGTAGAAAATAGGTACAAATACCACGAAGGAAGGGTACAAAAAAACCTTCGGGGAATACAACGCAACAATAAATACCTGGTGAACGATGCCGCCGTGATACGGGTTCGGGTATACTTTTTTTGTGAACACAAACTTCTTCTGCGACATGCTCACCTACCCGATTTTTCTGTTGAGTTCTGTGAAACTAGCAGAACCCTACCCGGAATTTAAAACCCTGCAGACCACACTTGGAACAGTCGGCTTTTTTATGTAGCATACCTGGGTCTATTCCAAAGGAAAGCAGCGTAGAGTATATATATATGCATACGTGATCATGACACAAAACACTATCTCAAATCGCACCCACCCAAAACACGGGTAGGGTAAAATCCTTCAGGGTGCACGGCACTGCTACTTCCCTCAAAGAGGTGACGGTGAGGAGGCGCCGTCACTGCCAGACTAAAAAAGATATGCATGTTTTACTCGGCAACGCGGTGAGGCCTCCTCCAAGACAAAATCCATCCGCTCACTCCTCTTTTTGCGGCTGCCGTAAGAGCGCCACCATGCTCTGTTTACCAATTATTTCGCGGCTGCCGTAAGGGCGCTACCATGCTCTTCGCGCGGGGCACATGAGGAGCTGCAATCAAGGAACAAAAATAAATAGAGATCGAAGCAACTTCGCACTGCCGAAAAACTACCGACTTTTACGTGAAGTATGCTGTCCTTGTCTTGTCCTGTCAACACCAAATACTGCGTAGGGCGCACGCAAGACATGAGTAAATCAAACGAGACATCGCAAGCACGTCAGCAGTTCAGAAGCAAAACGCACCAGGTCAGCAAACAACCATTTCGGGGTAGCGAAATTGCACCAAGGTGCGCGATCGTGCGCAATACCGCCGCCCCTTCGCTGCAGATCAGTCTCGTCTGAGACTCGATCGGACGAGTCGGGCGGCGGCCACGCCTCTTCGTCGTACATCACAGCTCTGGCTGACAAACCCCTTTCAAATCTACTCACACCCAAAAGAACACAAACACCAAACTCGTTCTACTTTGAAACTTCATGCCACACTCTACCATCGATCGTGTACAACTACTACAACAGAACACCTTTGTTCTTTGGTTCAACAGCAACCGAACACGATCTGGCACAACGCAACATCGCCAGTAAACCTTAGCAGTTCTGGGTTAGACTCAACCTCGGGGCTCATCTTGAGAAAAAAATTGCGCCACGTAGCAACAATCGCATTAATAGCTCACTCTTCCCCATCGTACATTAGACTCCCCCCTTTCCCTGAACCCCCTCGACCCCCATGACCCAGTCTGCTGATTCAAACTTCAAACGTGAAGAGGGGTGACGCTGGGGCTCTTCAAGCCCTTGACAATGCATTAGTAGGGCTGGCTGCCGTATGTTCCTTCCGCGGGGTTCCGCGCCTGCTGCTGAGCCTGTACCTGCGCGTGTTGTTGCACTTGAGCTTGCGCCTGCTGCTGGTTGCGCATGGCAGCAGCATATTCTGCTTGCGTATACTGCGCCTGGCCATCCGGGAGCCCATAGGCCGCCTGGGGCGGAAGGGTAACAGGGAACGACCCTGCCGTCGTCCCTCCTTCGGCACTGTAGGCAGCCCCAGCCCCTCGGCCGTTGTAGCCGTAGGGGGTGGGAGCGGAATACATCTGGCCGTTGTACCCATATCCCGCCGCGGCGTAACCGTACGCTGGCTGTTGGCCGTACGAGGCGGCCGCATTTCCATTAAAGGGAGCCCCACCGTTGTTGTATGGGAACGAGCCCCCTCCCCCATAGCCAGCCCCCGCGCCGCGGCCACCAGCACCGAACGGTTGGGCCCGCCCCCTCGTGCCTGTGAAAGGCGCGGCGACCCCACCCCCTAGCGCAGGGGAAGAACCACCTGCGAACTCTCCACGAGGGGCACGACCGCTGCGGTTCTCCTTGGGTTCTGCACGCTTCACCTCAACCATCTTGCCATTGATCTCGTGCGTACCCATCATAATGTCGTGGACAACAGCGTCCTCCTGGAAAGTAACAAAGCCAAAGCCACGCGAGCGCTGCGTCTGCCTGTCGAACATGACGACAGCATCAACAACGCCACCGAACGTCTCGAAATACTTCCTGAATTCCGCCATCATGACGGTTGGGGCCAGGCCTCCGACGAATATCTTATTGGTCTCCGCTGGCCTGCTGGACCTGGGCAGAGGGTGCCGGCAACGCGGGCGGGGGTAAGGGCAAGGGATTGGGTTTTGCAGAACGGAAAGGGGTAGTTGAATCCTTTCTCGCGAAAAAGCGTAAAGAAAATACCTCAGGTGCTTGACGCGGATTGGCGGAAGTCTCGCAGCGAAACTAATAATGTTCGACACTTTTTCGGCGCGAGAAAAGGTTGCAAATTTTTGCTCCAGATCGCGCGCAAAAGTTTCCACACTATTGCGCAACTTGTGCAACTTGTTGCTCTCATAGAGAGCGTACATGACCTTAACTTTTTCTCGCAACTTCATGCTCCCATGAAAAGCGGTGTGGAAGAGCCTGCCCCTGTCCCTTCCCGTTTTATTTTCGGTCTTATCTGTGAATGTCACCTCAGACTATCGTAGATTGTGACGTCAGTTGAATGATGGCAGTCGCCAAACGTTACGGACCAAGTCAACAAATTATGTTTCTCATCGGTACTTCGCAATTATGGCACTCTGCGATATCCATGTCATTCTTGCATCTTTCAATCTGGATTCGGGCCCCGAGATCGAAGATAGGGGGGTGCTGTTAATGTCACCTCAGACTGTCGTAGATTGTGACGTCAGATGACCTGTTGGAGATCTACCGTTGGGGTGCTGCCACAGATAGAGTCAGTACATGATGGACGCTGAACCCTGCCGCAGCGGGCTCGCTCTCCCCTGACTCACAACACAACTTTCGTACTCTTCAGCCTCTCCCACAAGAGGTTGAACCGGTGTGTATCCATACCACACATCCCTAAGGGAACTAAGCCACATGTGAACCTGGAGACATCCGTCTCATATATCGCAGATTGGCTACACCGAAAAAACGCGTATGCACAAGACGAAAAGACTTTTCAATGTTATTTAGAATAAAACGAAAACTATCTACGTCATTGCGACAACACGATCGTCTCGCTCTGTTGTAGCATACTCGCCGGGCCAAGTTGGTGTGTAGCTCCGTGGTATTGCAGGGCATGCTTCACCCCATGCAAAACACATGTGCCGGAGTAAATGCCCCACTGAACGCTGCTGTGGTTGCTCAGCGAAACCCGTAGAATGCCTCCCTCGTGCTCAGAGGGCCTATCGCGACTTTGATCTGGGCTACGCTCTAGGTATGTACTATCGTACAGCATGAGGCAAGTGCCGCCGCCAGGGCACACGGAAGACGAACTGCCCATCCGGACAAGCTCGATGTGTATGGATTTTGCACGACAAATAGTGCTGCAAAGGCACCCTTGATTGGCCGACGTCCAAGAGCGATGGAGCACCACGATGATGTCAATCTACATATGAACGCCTGTCAGAATTCCTCCTTGAGCAACTCTAGTAAAGATGGGGTCGTCCAACAGGGATTCGTTGCCCTGAGATCCTCGACCTACCTCGTGTATGCATACGTTGCATTCAACTCCTGTTCGCACCAAGTTCAATTAGCAATCCTCCAATGGAATCCTCTTGTCACTCGTCGACAGCAGTTGAGTCGAAAAATACAGTAGTTCAATCGCGAACAGGTATGAGACGCTATGAGACGGTTGTCTCCAGGTTCGCGTGTGAGCAAGTTCCCTTTGGGATGTGTGGTGTGGATACACACCGGTTCAACCTCTGGTGGAGAGGCTGACGAGTACGGATAGTTGTGTTGAGTGTCAGGAGGGGAGCGACCTTGCTGCAGCAAGGTTCAGCGTCCATTATACACTGACTCTATCTATGGCAACACCCCGAAGGTAGATCTCCGACAGGTCATCTGACGTCACAATCTACGACAGTCGGAGGTGGCGTTCACACAGGCGCTGTTTCTTAAAAAAAAAGCATTCATGTTGGGATTCGAACCAGCTACCCGACCCTTCACAAATTTTCGAGGATTCGCCTTACACCTATGCATACGTATGAATAAATAAAACTTAAAATTTCCCCCAAAGTTTCCCTGATGTTTAGCAATCAAACGGTTTGCCATAGTTCTCAACCTGCCTTAACACTGCACAAGGCATCCTGGTATATTATAGGACGGCAGCTCTCTCTAGATAAAAAAGAAAACAAGGGTACCTGGAGGATGGGCCTGGCGCTTCGCTCTTGGGTACTGCGCGCTTGACATCCACAACCTTGCCGTCAATCTTGTGCTCCTGAGACAAAATCTCATCGAGAACTGTTGTGCATGTGTGATGGCACGTAAAGCACGCGACGTAGGCAGCAGGCCAACAGGAAGAAGCGCTCTTAGTTGCGTGGGAATCAGGGCCTTGGCAGACGGCATGGGACAACCCACGGCCCATGACTCTGATCCCACGATCTGCCCAGGTGCCCACCAGCGGTTGGGTGACATGGGTAATGCACTCTGTATCTGAATAAGATTGGTCACATCATCGGAGGCGGAGAATTTGCAAGGTTGGGCACATTGGAGGCGGGGCAACTGATTTTTCGAGAATTGTGTTGAGTGAATTACCGGTTATATCCTCGAACTTGATGAAGCCGAACCCCCTCGGATGCCCGGTGTACTTGTCCTTCATGAGCGCAATGTCCGCTAGCGTGCCGTACTTCCCGAAATGATGTCTGCGCAAACATTTTCAACAACATGTAACAGGTCGTTGTTGACGTGTCCTGGCGGGTGGACGAGGGGGGATCTGACGATGTGACGTAGGTAAAACCTAGCAAACATGGGGCCACAAAACTCCACGTACATTCTGATTTCTCGGAACTTTAAGATCGTCGGTTTCTCAAATTTCAAGATAATTCTGAAAAGGGTGCTTGCCTCGATTTTTGAATTTCGTGTTTCGTGTAAAGCGGTTGTGCGTGCTTTTGGTATCCGCTCACAGGCACATGAAGGAACAGACCAAGTAGGGTAAGTACACAACAGCAGCATCGGGAAAACCTAGTCAGTCGAGCTGCCAGAGCATATCATGAACGCCCAGAGTAGTGGATTTTGGGAACGAAAAAATCACACCTGAGGCCCTCCTCTGTTGTCTGCCACGATATCCCGCCGATGAAGAGCTTTCCCTCCACGTCGTTGTCTTTATCGTGAGCAACAGAACCGGCAATCCCCGGTGCCTGAGGCCCTCCCTGGTTGGAGGAGGATTCTTCCACAGCCTTCGAGAACCCTGAAGCCGAAGCAGGCGACGACGTGGCCCCAACGGCGGCCGAGGCAACAGCAGCTGCCAGCGCACCGGCTTCCGGAGCATCCCCTAAATTCAATCTCTCCACCCCTTCTCCCAACCCATTCACGTCCATCCTAGCTGTATTGCGCACAACACAAACCAGACGTCGACAAACGGCAGAGGGTTGGTCGGATCCGTCGTGAACAGAAACGAATGTATGGAACCCGCACGTCGGGGGGGCAAACCTGTTGTGCGCACATCCCGACATTTTCATTTTTGCGGCGCTGAGAGAGCAAAAATAGAGCCGCTGCTGCTTCCGGGCAGCTGCCAACCTTCAGGCGACCTAACATCACCAACATCACCTACCTTACACATCGCACCTTACACATCGCACCAGGGGATTGGTACCTTCTCACGCCTCACCTTCGCGAGTGTGCGCGGATTCAAGTGTGTGCTCTCGCTCCCCCACCGCACACACCGGCTCTTCTCGATGAAATGCCCGACCTGTCTCCGTCCGATGATATTGCACACCGTCACCAAAATTCGTGGTGGTCGTTGGGGAGCCCAAGCGTATGTACGAATCGGGAGTTGAATAGCCTGGGTTTTTTCAGACCGCAAGAGTTAGAAAACGTCATATTTCGGTCTGTTGGTGAAGCATTTGAACGTGGACGCACATGTAGCTTATCTGGGACCACCTGGCTGATCAGATTGGGATAGATAAATCATGAGCTCCCGCGAGGGACGGTAGCGAAGACAACAAGGCAACATCTCTCTCGCACAGAGGAACTAACGGGGCGGGGGGAATCTCCACGTCCCTCAAGTGAAGCCAGTGTAGAAGTTGTATGCGCGAGCTCGTGCAAATACAACCAGCAGCAGCTGCTGCACACTGTGGATGTACGTTGAATTAATTGTAACCGGTGGTTGTAAGGCTTAAGTTCTGTACAGAACGCGTCACCACTGAGCCCCTTGGCAACAACTATCTTCCAATCTTACAGCGTCTATCAAAGTGTCTCCTTGTGTCTCGCCTTATTACCCGTCCACGCCGACAATCTCTCCACAGAGAGGATCCAAAAAATAATGATCTGAAATTCACAAAGCGAAAATTACAACGATAGGTCAAGTCCATTCATTTTCTCGACGCAGGGACTGGAACCACCATCCAATCATCACAGCTAGCTGCAATGTAGGTTGTGGGGTATATTGCATGGTTGATTAGTTAACTATACTGATTTACATCAAGAGACCTTTGTGGCCGGTATGTTATGTACCGCTCGTCGTCTGGTCAATCATCATGGTCCTTTAGCATGCATATGTAGAATAAGTGGTGCATGCAGCAGTTAATTGTAGCTGTTAGTGTACCTGGAGAGGTAGTAGCTAGGTGCACCTCCCTCTGTTGGTTCTCGAAAACACATTGAAAATAGTTTTGAAAACTGAGGGAGATTACATGCCCTACGACTACAACAAGGGTGCCACACACAAAACGCCCGACCAGTACCTTACACATTTCTTCTACACCTTCCCAACATAACATATATGAGACACACAAGACAGTTACCAAATTGTCTTGTTGAGCCTGTTACTCGCAGGGGAGATGTCCCTATAATATTATGCTGTCTGGGAAACCGTAGACACAGGTACTTTCTGACGCTATGAATTCATTGCTAATCTGTCTCAGACTCTTTTCTATGATAGAGATGGATTCGTTGTGTCATATTAAGAAAAAAAAAAATATATATATATATATATGTTGTACTCAAAAATCAAAGATAGATAGGCTGCCTACTAACCTCACTACCATCGAGATCAGACCACATCAGGCAGCAGTAGTCGAAGGGGTTTAGCTGAAGTCTCTACAGCAAGTGAGTGGGAAGAGTTAGTTTTTGCTCACTCAATCGGAACAAAGATACGAAGTAGAATAGGTAGGAAAAAACGCCCGAGGGATGCCAAAAACAACACGTTAAAAGTGGGGCGGCTGTGTTCCAGGGTATATATATATAGGTATGCAGCTGTTGTTGTGTGCTAAGGTCTTTGTGTAACGTTTTGGGTCGACAAAAATATGTATCTCACCCCGCTCTGTCGTTTGTCATCCTCTGTTTCGTTTACGGGAGTCTCAGACTTTGTGCTACTACATACGTACGTGTCGAGCCACGAAAATATTGTTTTGTGTGTTCGTCCGCCATCCATCTTCAAACATATTGTATGTGAAAAGAGGGAATCGTCCTCGACGGACGTCGGGGAGACTTTTTCCCTTTATGAAGAGGATTTCCACACACACACGGATCACGACTTGTATATCGACCGAGAGCGTCTCCAAGCAGGTGCACAGCAGTGCGCGTATTCACCATCATCCCCGTACCGCCCAACACCACACCAGCGGCGCGCGAAACACGCTTGCTTGCTTGGCCAGAGATCGGCGTCCCCATGCAAGGACCCATCTTACCCTAACGTTGTCCCAGCCCTTTCTCCTTCATTTTCCTTGTTTTATTATTATTGCTGGTGATACCGCTACTACCACGGCTTGTGCCACGCGCCGATCGGTCGCGAACGCAAGAGCGGTCATTAATTTACCCACTTAGCAATACAGACAAGCGTCGCAATCCTCGAAACGGAGGAAACAAACGTCACGGGTAATCAGCCTCTGCTGTACCAAGAAAGCAAAGATTGTCTTGTGTTCTCCTTCCACAGACAACCTGAGCAAGTCAACCATGCCGCAACACGGGAGGAGAGGGGGGCGAGTTCCCCATCTGCGAAGAAGCTATCGCAAACGTAATAAATCCAACAACAATCTCGATACATGTACCGTCTCAGTCCAAAGTGTTCACACGTACGTGTACAATCGTCACGCTGGCAACTCATGTGCACGTGCTCGACGGTCGTGGGTATCCCCGCACCATCAGCAAAGAACGGCCGCGTGTAATCCAGTCTAGGGCCTTCATACCAAGGAGGTTAAAGCAAATCCAAAATATAAATGATGCTCGTCGCCTCGCAAATCAGTTCGTTTCTCAAGTTCAAAGTGTTCACACGTGCTACGTGTACAATCGTCACACCGGTAACTCATGTGGACGATGCTCAACGGTCGTGGGTGTCCTCGCACCGCCACCAAAGAACGGCCGGGTTTAAATCCGGTCTAGGGCCTTCATACCCAGGAGGCTAAAGCATTTCCTCATGGTGACGCCCGTCGCTTCGCAAAGCAAGAGTCGGCTGGTTTGTTCATCCGAACCCAGGACCCGGCAGTTGGTGACGAAGTCCGTGAACTTGGTGGCGAGAGTGTAAAGGTACTCACACAGGCGGTTGGGACCAAGATCAGCCAAGCATGCCTAGAGAAACAAAAGAAACAAGGGGGGAGAATTGGTGAGATCTTGCATAAATGGCGGGAGTTGTGCTCGTCAATATTTCACGCACGAAGGTGGATTCTGCACAATGACCTCTACACCTGGATTCGTAGGGTACGGGGGTGGGGTGACTGACTGAGTCATGAAAACCCTAAATAAATCTTCGGCAAAAGGGTACAAAAAACCCGGGTGACTGGCTGAGTCACGAAAGTCCCATATAATCTAAAGCAAAGGGGACAAGAAAACCATGTAAGACGTGCGTTCGTTTCTGTATGATTGGACTTGTCAAGCTCCCCTTCGACGAAAACATCCTCGCTTCGTTCGGCAGCGCTACAATATATGTTAGATACTGCGTTGGTTGTCTTGCCGAGTCTGACCCACTCAGGGCCCTCTTTGTGCCACTGAACACAGGGCGTTGTGACTGTTTTTCATTTCGCGAGCGCAGCATTATTATTTTTCTCTGCCGTCCTTCGATTTCGACCATGGCGTTGTTTTGGCAGTCTTGCGATATCTGCGCTTGTTTTCTTATGAACGGGGTCGAATGGACAATGACAACTTGGTGGAGGTCAGAAAAAATGTGTTCGGTGCATACAACGAAGCCATAGAAGCCGAAATCAAACCATTAGACTAGTCAGCGCTGATTAGTCTAACGATTTGATTTCGGCTTCTATAAAGCGACGGCAACAGTATCAACAACAAGGATAGGGCCGAAGGGTTGCACCCTGATACAGGAGAATCGATCGATCGAAATAAGTTCGCAGCGCACACGCCATCTACGCAAGACCAACGCTCGAAGCACGCCGGCGAGAAATCCAACTGCCGGGCAGCAAACACAAAATACTTGGAACACAACTGAATAGGGCGAGGTAATGAGCGGCGGGGTAGCCGACTCAATACCTCGCAGTAGTCTATCTGCGATGCTTTCATGTGGTGGCGGGTAGCAGTCGATCATCAACAAAAAAAAAAGAAGGCTCCTGCAACTAACGGCCGTTATCGCGTGTGCATACATACAGCAGTACCGTAGATGACACGAGATACCACACCCCCTGGACCAATTTCAAAGCTCGGTTGCTCCACACCACAACAAGTGGCGGTACCGATAATGGTGGTGTGGGAGCCGTCTCGTCGAGAGCTTTCCGACAAAGTCTTGCTAGGTGTACGCATCCTCTTCGATCTGGAGTACAATCGACCCCGCTTTAAGGACACCCATCGTTTTTTTTTTTTGAAGTGTCGTTTACACGGGGCATGTGTCCCTAAGATTGTGATAACTCACCATCCCCGGGATCGACGGAGGCGTAACGGCATAATATGCGCGATTGCAGCAGGGATACTAGCACGAAACGAAAATATCATAAACCTGACGATCACAACGTGGTGTGGTGGATGAAAGCTGCACGCACTTACACACCACGTAGTTCGCTGTTAACCTTTACATTGTAACACTCCACCCCTCACGCAATACTTCGAGCAGTGGGAATAGTGCTGCAGGACGAGGTACTAAATTACAACAACAGGGTGTTGTCGTCGTTGTTGTTGTCATTGTGTGTGTTGGCGTTATCATCTACCAATATTTTTTTGGAGATGTCCCCACATTGAAAATGTTGCCGACATGCATATATATCTTTACCACAAAAAAAAACGTAACCAACCGTCGTTGCAACTCTGATACCATACACCCTCTCTGCCATAAGCTACCTGCCAAACAGGGAACGAGCAAAACTATACATGGAACAAAATTACACCTGTCGGGAAGGTACAACGCCAGAGAAATATACCGAACAAAAGAAAGGATCCCATCCCTCCTGCCCAAAGGTCAAAACCAGGCATAACTTCCAAGCCAAGCAAAATTTTCTTCGCGCAGTAGCGGCGGCAGCAGCAGCAGCACTACGCAGCACAGCACCGGTTGCCGTGCAGTGTAGCGTGCAGCGAAGGTGTGCTGCAGCATCATTTGGGGGTCCCACATCAAGAAGCCGGTATCCCCCCCTCAACATTGTATATCTGCGGGCAACCCTGCTTTTGAGGTTGCCTGTGTCCCTATAGAGGATTCGACTGTACTCAAGCTTTAAAATCGGTACAGCGGGTGTGGTGTCTTACGTCACCGGTAGACGTCATGCATACGTTCCCCCACCGAACGAATTGGTTTTCGGTGATTTCTCTGACGCAGCAGCTGTGACGCAGCAGCATTTGTAAAGCTATTCCCCGCGAGTTGTGCGTATGCAATGTCTTATGCGGCTGCTAATAGAGGGCATGGGGCCACAGGACCAACGGAAGCTGAGGTGGCGAGAGTCGGCAAATCGGTGTGGTGAAGAGAATCCCATTTTTCTTGTTCCTCACATGCCAGCAGATCGTCAATCGACGCTCTATAGACCTCGTGCTGGTCGAAAAGCATGGAAAATCCAGGCGGTCGATAATTGAAACTTGGACCCCTGGTAGATAGAGCCTGATTTTTCCCTCCTCGGACGGAGGGAAAAGAACGGTCGTGCTTCGCGCTCCGCGGCTCATTATGAACCACGCTATGACTAATAAATGCTCGGGGGATACAGACAACTTACACGACGAGTACGCGCGGGTGGGCCTGCGGGTGACGTCGATCGAAGCACCACCCACGATAGCAGCATCGTAACACAGCAGGACCCAAGCCGTAAAACCTGCAGCTCCTACGAAACACCTCCTTGGCTGGGACGGCAATACAAGTGTTGTTTGCGACCTCACCTCTATGACGTCACTGAACATCAGCAGCTCGAACGCCAACGCTCGTTCAGACTCGTGCTCTACCGACACCTTCTCCGGCGAAGCCTTGAGAGCAGTTACGTCGACGTGCAGCTCATCTTGCGCTTTGAGCAGAATGGAGGCCAGTCGGGCGTGGGCGAACTGCAAGTAGACCGCCGTGTTACCCCTCGTGTCTAGCATGCGGTCGTAGCTGTTCGGGAAAGATTAGGCACTGGGTTAGTTGGGCATTGCGTTTCGCAATATATTGATCTGTGCGCGGTCAGTCCAGCGAAGCAGCTGCTGGATTCTCCAAATTAGTCGGTCAGGGGGGTTCGTCGCGGAACTGCCAACTTTGCATATTTTTGTTAAAGGTCTTTCTGATAAAATATGGTGTGTATGCCCCCAAATGTTGTATGCCTGCCAACATGATAATCTTTCAGAAACCCAACAAAATCCCGTCCGAACCAAAACGCCGATCATGTGGGACGGGATGGTCGCATTGACCTACTAACATGACGTGCACTTGGCCCCGACACAAATCACACATGAACACACGAGAAAAAAAAGAAGAGCGTGAGTGGAGACTTTGTGCGGCCGCACGCCCGTGAATTCGTCGTAGTGGCCAAACAACCGTACCTGAATACGTACGAAGTGCTGGGATGTTGCCTGAGGTCATAGTACTTTACAGCGCCATAGCCAATTTCTGCCGCGGCCGCTGCGGCAGCTTCTTTGGTAGTCGTCATCTTGCCTTCATCCATCCTTTCTTGGATGCTTGCCTGCGTAAAGCACCGTACACACCGGCGGATGTAAACACGCACCCATCTACCACAGTCTGCCTGCGCGGCACTATACGTCGAAAAACTCTTTCGCCTAACACAGTGGAGTCACTTCCGTTCCGCGTGTTCTCACTTTATCGAGGTAAATCCACTCATCATAAAAATGACCTCACAAGGGCCATTACCGCTCAAAACCAATGTGACACAGTTTGTTTAAACATAGAATGAGGACCTTACCAGGCAACCATCTCTTTCTTTTACGCCATGACCATCTTGTTGTGCGATTGCTCCCGGACACGCCCAAATTTAACTTTCTCACCGCCATCCGTCGCACAGCCTCATCCAGTAGATCGACCAATCGAACCGTGTCCCCCGAACGCGTCTTGAACTTCTTTCCGTCCGGGCCAAGCACAACGCCGAAGCCTAAGTGCTCTAGTTTGGTGCCTTCGTCAACCCATCCAGCTGCTCGTGCCGCATCGAAGCACATGTGGAAATGACTGGCCTGAGAACGGGTGACACAAGAAACAACCGAGGATACTCCATCAGAGAAGATGCACCTACTTCACAATACGACGCATTCGCAGAAAGGCACTGCCGTCGTGTTGAGAGGCTGGATACGGCACAGCAATCTGCTGGAATCTTAATCTTGCGTCAGATGCAGAGGGATAGACTTTCAAAACAACAGGTGACAAGCAGTTATGAGAACCTGCGTTACGTTTCAAGGGCGTGATTTCACCTGGCCAGCATCAGTGATGCCGATGATCCAATCGCATTTTAGCGTTTTTAGTCGGTACCGGATGGCGGTCATGTCCGTGGAGTCGTATCCAAAACCACCTTGAATTGGATAAAAACAGGGGCAAGCGTGAGAGCGAGGGGGCCCAAACGGGGGTAATGTCAGTTGATTGCCCTCGCCATGTTCAATATTCAATACCAACCAATATCAAATGCGTGGCAAAACTTGACGAACGGTTGGGAACTGGTGCCGGGACACCAGTTTAGCGGTTTGAACCATGGCGTACTTGTAGAAAATATTGATGGTGGGCTTGAGTGGCATGTGAGTGCATTTTGAGAGCAACATCATTACTAACACAAACAACACACCGCCAAACGCACAAGTTGTCACCGTGCTGAAAGTAGACGGCATTCTTACAGGCTCTAAGACGGATAGGGACCTCCACACGCACTACTAAATGCTCACCGTCTCGTTTGCGCACGATCAGGGGGTACGTGAAGTGTTCCAGCCGAACGATATCGGCACCATCATCCCTTGACACGAGGCCGGCCTCGGCCAGCATGTCTATGGTCGACGGGATCATGTCGTTGTAGAACGACTCGCCGTGCTCCTCCAGAGTGACATCCAGGCGATCGTACACCTTCTGGAATTCCTTGCGACTAATGTCGCACAGCAATGTCCACACCTCCTTGCATGCCGGGTCGCCCGACTGTAGGTCCACCACCGTGTTGCGCGAAGCCTGCAGAGTGGGAGTTCGGAGTACATATGCATAGAACGTTGGATCGTCGGGCAAAAAAGACTGAAATCCCAATGGTATCGTTGGCTCTCGGTTTACCCCTTGCACGATTGATCTATCTCTTGAAAGCTCGAGGATGAGGAAGAAAGCCGCGCTGGTGCATTGAGACTCGCGTGGCGATACAACGGCGCCTGCAGCATCAACCCGTACTACGCGGAATCGCACTGAACGGCGATCAAAGGCCGAGTGCGGGAGACCACGCGTGCGATCAGGATCCGTAGAAGCTAAAACAGTTTGTCTGCAAAAAATTTAAAAAAAGTTACCTCCTTGAACTCCTCGCTCTCGTCGAAGCGAAGCTTAGCCGCCTTGTAGAAGGTTGTGAGGTCTGTGATGTTGGGAGGATCAGTGAGGAAGTTCGGGTAGGCCTCCTTCATGTAGTTGATGAGCATGCCGAACTGTGTCCCCCAGTCACCGACATGGTTATGTCTGAAAACCTGGAGGGCGCGGGTACCGGTGCATGAAAGTGCCGATGAACTGCAGGTGTGCCTCCATTTCTCGCTAGAACGAAGGTATGTTTACTACTGTTACCACTGAAATTCCACCATTTCGATTAGTTGATGGTGGACAACCATCATCCATGTTTTTCACAAATTAACATGACAAAAACAATACGCTAGGAACCGGGATGGGTAGCGAACCAAAACGACCTACCGTGTGGCCGCAGAACTCTAGCACGCGGCATATGGCCTCCCCGATGATGGTGCTGCGAAGGTGCCCCACGTGCATCTCTTTAGCGATGTTTGGGCTTGAGAAGTCCACCACCACCCGCATCTTCTTCACCTCTGGCGGCGCCGGTCCATTCTGCCAGACGGAACAACATCCGGTGTCCATATTTCAGGCAATGAACGCTCTGCTCTCCTTACACGGGTTGTCAGTTTCCTGGACGTACCATATCATTATCTTGCAAGGAGCCCTACATGCCTCAACCAACAGAGACGCCGCGAACAGATCATAAACCAATTGTCCAACTTGTTTACCATACCTTGATGACCTTCGCGATGCTCTGATTGATGAACGCCGGGCGGAGGCGGATATTGATGTACCCTTGAGGTGACACAGATGTCGTGTCTACCAGGGGGTTCACGGGAAGTGACGCGACGATGGCCGACGCTGCAGCCTGGGGGCTCGAGGGTGCCCCGTCGCCTCCCTGTGGATGATGATAACACAAAGGCATCGGGCTCAGCGATCTGCCCTCATGGTTGATCAACAAGTTCACAATGTGGTACGCGCAAGAGCTGTAGAGGCGTTCAAGAAGCGCAACACAAGAAAACGGGGTGCGGTCAAGTGTCAGAGAACAAGGCGTGGGCCTGACACGAACCAAGGAATTACTTTTCTTCGATGCCCACTCCCACACACCTTGAGGGCTTTGAAGAGAGCCATCGCAGCATTGCACTGGAAGTCGCCGTTCTTGTAATCGGCGCACTTTCTCACGCTGGAAGAGGTGATTCCAGCACTCTTTGCCAAGGGCCACGCCTTGAACATGGCCGCATCAAACATGGCCAAAAGCGACGCTTGAAGGCCAGCCTTTAGACTGACGCCCTTAGATGCCTAGAGGGTATCATACAACAAGGGAGAAGTAAGGGATGATATGAACCTTCATCCATGATTCAGAGCTGGTGAGACCGGGTTGCTGCACTAAGTTTGTACCAGGGTGGCCTGCAGCCAGAATCTGGGACGCCTAACGGAGAGACCATCCGTGTCTACCGTACGTATTGTTGACGTTTTGTTCGCGCGCACTCGCCTTGGTGAAGGTATCGATGGTGCTGGCTGCTTGTTTACATGCGGGCATTTCCCCAACCCGCTGCGCATAGGCCAGAACCTTGGCGAGAGTTGATGTTGCTTCGGCCTCTCCAAGAGCAGTGATGGCCGCCTGCGCCGTAACACCTACGACTACGTCCGCAAGAGACGGTTCGTCCTGTTTTGTTCAAGGCATGGAAGGATGAAGACATCGAAACAAAGGGTCAAAGCAATGGGGCGTAGAAGAGCGGCCGACACGGACAACTCGACCCATCAAAACCGGGCCTGCTGGTAATATATATAGTAAGCATTCCCGTTCCACCGTTCCGCTCACTTGAGGTTGGAACCAGACAGCACTGCCAACGCTACGCAGTGGCAACGCCTTTCGACAGTGATGTGCTCTAAGCAACCGACCGTTGATTTTTGGCCAAATACTACCGATAGTTCCAACGCACAGCAGCACTGCATCTCACCCCCTCAAGCAACCATGTTCCGGTGAGTTTGTCCTCCAGGTGCTTCAGCGCGGCCAGAGCCTCGGTCGGCACGGAACCGCCGGCCTCTTTCCATGCAGCGAGAGCCCTCTCTGCTGGTGCGAGCGTCCCTGTTTCCCAGTCGAGCCACTCCTCAACAGCTCCGGCAGGGTCTGCCGTCGGCCCTTTCGGCGACGAAGACTTGCCCTTATAGGAAAAGTAGCGGCACACCGCGTTTGCCCCAAATATCACGGATGTCCCGGTCGAGACCGCACAACCCGATGCAGAGGATAGTTCACCTGAGCAAACCAATGAAGCACATGGTAGATGCACCCGCGTCACACGGCCGTTGGTGTTTCTCAGTCAGATTCCAGATCAAGCATAGAACATAACGAGGCACGTACAACACACAACAGCATATGCGTCGCATCATCCATGCATGCAGCACCCTAGGGGCTGGAGACGACAGAAAAACTAACATTTGAGAGAACGACATCAGCACTCGGAACAACTGTCCACTTTTCACACACACACTCTCGGTCATATGGGACCTTTCCCGCAACCTAAACACCCCCTCCCAGCTGGACGATCCTGCTGCATCGTTGGCTTTCGCCTTCAAACATTCGTTGACTGGCGGTGTGTTCCTCAAAGTTTACTTCCTCTCTTGTCTCGCGAACAACGTTTTCCCTCACCTGCCGGATTGGTGTCGGCTGCTTCCACTTCCACCCCGAAGAACTTTGCAGCGGTCAAGCCCTTGAGAGGGCCGGGCCCATCGCTGCCAAGGTACATGGAAGGGAGGGACGATCTTGAAGCAGCTGACGCCGGGGCTGCTGCCGGTGAGACACACGATCCGGCCACCGACGCGGACTTGGCACCCTTCGCCGCCGCCTTCTTAGCTGCCTTTTCAGCTTTCTTGGCGGCGGTTTTACTCGGGCCTGAAGACGACGGCGGTACAGCGTCCTGCCAACACCAACGTAGGTGGCGGTGTGGGAGACTAAATCAAAAATACTTCACGGCTTCCGGTGAGGCACGGCGTCCTCTTGAACACGCTAGACATCATTAAAGAAGTACCCGAAGGTGCATGGTAGATACTCTTCGGCGTGTCGGCGTTCCGGCAAATTCACCAAAGCTTGATTACCTTAAAATCTTTGCGTATGTTGCGCACGAGTGTAGCAAAGCAGCAAGAGAGGATAAGATACCCACAGGAGCGGCAACAGTGGCATTCAATCTATGACGTTGAGGGTGTGTCTTAACGCTCTAGACCAAACAGGGAACAGGGAACAGGGAATTCGGAATTCCCTGTTCCCTGTTCCCGTGTCGTTGTGTCTTAACATACACCTCATTTCCAGGGAACATGGAACACTTGAGCGCGGGCGTGCGGCCCGCATGTCCTCAAAGGCAACAAATACAACCATCGGATGCAGAAAGACGAGTGGGGGGTAGAGGAGGGAGGAGGTGGTGTATTGCCACTTTATGTTGCCCCATACAACGGCCTCGCGACCATCCGCCGCCGGTTTTTTTGCATGCGAGTCCAAGCGAGACACCTGATGATGGCGGCAATGCTTATGTACAGCTTGAACTGGTAGCATGCAGCCTGTGGCAGCCACATGCCCGAGACTCATCACACACATCCCACCACGTCCGAATTGCCACCGAAGAGCCCGTATTCCACGTTCCCTATGGTCTGTTGGCTAATTTTGATAAACGAGGGAGTGAAAATTATTGTGCGGCGTAACTACCTCAAACAGGGAACGTGTGTGGCATTTCTTGTTCCCAGAACGTTATTTTGTGCCAATCAGACAATAATTCCGAGTTCCCTGTTCCCTGTCCAGAAACGGGACGTTGAAACACGCCCTGAGTACGCATAATCTCCCGCCTGTCCTCGCGTTCGCGGTCACGCAAGCGAAGCAAACTGGCAAGACGAGCGCTGGTGGACACATTTCCATCGCAATTGCGTAAATTCCTGAGGGAAAAGCCGTGCCTATTTACCGTTGCTTTGGATCCACGCACCTGCGGCTTGGGTGTAGATTTGGCCTTCTTTTCCTGTGGTGGCGGAACGTAGTCGCTGCCGGTGACCTCCTTGTAGTGTTGCTTAGTCTTCATAAGCTTTGCCACCTGCAGGACATGAGGACGTCGGACACACACCCATGAGGCGGTGCATGAACGGGAGCACAGCAGTAGCCAGTCACCGAGCCTCACACTGCCGCGCGAAAACAGGCCAAGTCCGCTCAATACGATTGCAAGATTGCATCAAACACCACAACGTATACTATGCATACGAGCATGATATTGCGCCACCACTGACTGAGCGTGCGGCCAGTTTGCCATGATATCAGATTGCCATGGGACAGCGTAAGTTTACGTATCATTTTCTTTTTTTTTTTGTCTTCGATTCAACCCGTGGTCACACAGAAGAGCCCCTCTCTACCCTGCCCTCCTGCAATACGTTGCCTTCGATTTTTAATGCGAGAAGAGTTCAGCACTCTCTTCCCTCTGTGTACACGTGTACACACGAACAAGCGCTATCCACTAGGCTAGGAGTGGAAGCGAGAGAAAAAATCACTTTGAAAGAAAAGCTCTGTTACGCCGGGATTCGAAGGTCCGAGGTTACTACCTAGACAACGGGGACGACATACCTCCTTGGAGATGACCGCCTTGTCCGCCTTCGCCGCCTTGAGCTGCCTGATTCCCTCCCCAATGGCCACGACCTCCGCCTAGTAAGGTTGATAGCACGATAACGGAAGAGTTCGACAACATGTAGTGAAGGCAGCGCGACACGGGCAATCAATGGGTTGCAATTGGCGCGGCGAGGAGGGGGCGAAGGGAGGCCAGTGCTGTGGTTGGGCAAGCAATAACCGCACAGACTCACCATCGCCGCGTCCGCCATGGCCGTCAATGTATTAACTGAAAATACGCCCTGTGCACTCCGGGGTAGCGAAGATCACTCCCCGTTAGTCTCTTCTACGTATATACCACAAAGAACGAGACAAGGAACGGGTCCGGTACTGGTGGTGTGGGGGGCCTGGCGGCGGTGGTGTTGTGCCGTGGGGGGTCGACATTTTGGATAATTTTAAATCGCTACTAGGGTGTGGTATGTACGGGTGCGGGGGGTTCCGTGTGTCACGTCACGTCTGCTGCTGCTCGGCTCGTACATACGCTGCTGCTGTGGTGCTGCCACAGGCAAACTCTGCTCGCAGCCCCCACGTCTGTGCGCGTGTTCGAAACCAAGAGCAACGTTGAACAGGGAGTGGAAATTGGAGCACGATGTTCAGTGGATTCGACAACCTCGCGGAAGGTTTCAAACGGTTCAGCTTAGATGCACTGCAGGACCAGGATGACGAAAATACCTCGAAAGACGATCAACAGCGTCTTCCTGTACTACCGGAACAGCAGCATCCTACGGAGCACACGGAGTCTCCTACCAAAGAGCCACCACCGCAACCGGCGGAGGTAGAGGATAACGAATGGAATTGGGATCAGGATAACGCGGGGGCTACTGATGCGCTGAGGGAAGGAGTGGGTGGTTTACAGCAAAAGCATGTGGCTCATCTCGGAAATTCTCCACAGGCGACGAGCGCCGCACCCGCAGGCATATCGCCGGCGGCTGTGGCCTCACCCTCAGAATTAGACCAGAGCACTTTTGACGGACAAGCTGGTGGAGTCGTGGTCGAAGCGGAAGAACCTCTACGGGAGAATGCAGGCACGCAGGCCGCTGAGGAGGGCATGGAAGAGCGAAGAGAAGGGCAAATGTTTGGCGGAGAGAAGAACAGCGGCCCTTCAACATTCGCCAGGGATAGCAGTGCTTCATCGAGCCCCGTTGAGAAAGGGTTTTCTGACAATACGGTGAGGGGGGCAGCTTAGAACAATCTCCTGCCTTGTCCCTGGACACCAAATAGCTTCAGGTGTCATGTGTATTGAATGATGAGTCAGATGTTGCGCCGTCCTTTGCATACGCGACTCGGCATCAAAATGTCTGCGTCTCATAGATCGCATGTTCTGCCTTCTGCCATTGTTCGACTCTCTTGTAGTGCTCGATATAGTACGTAGCTGCTTAGGCGCCATCCGCGGTTGATCGTCATAAAATTTTCCTAGGGGGACAGCCGTAGTACAGGTTTCGAAATTGTGTTATTGTGCGAGATATGGATTCTGGTTCAGAAAGCCCGTAAGCACGAGATTGGAACAGTGGCTGTCATAGTGTCGCCTCGAAGGAAACCATGATATATTTTCATAGCGGAGGTACAACGGCATATTCGCATCTCATCTTGCATCCCCCGCTGCTGTACACATTATGTACATGTGCATTGCAAATTGTGTTTCCGTCGGACACAAGACCTCTGGCTTCCCCTCTGGTTTGCCCACGATTCAACTTTCCATTCATCGCAGGATACTCCTGCGGCACTTGGACGCTCCGAACCTTGCAGTAGAACAATCGAGGACGGTACCGAAGACGTCCACTTAGGGAACGCGCCGACACCCGATCCTTCTTCGTCCGGGAAACTCCAGAATTGCCTTGAAGGTAGCAAGCCTGCTGCGGCGAAGGCCGTTGGCTTGGCGACAGATGAAGGGGTAGCGACGAACACGACCAATGACAGTAGTGCTGCAGGTCCCACCGGCACCAACGGGGGTGGTGAGCGTCGCGTTGACCACCAAGAAAACGGCGAAAGTATAGAAGACGGTTCATCGCCCCAGAACTCGCCCGAGGCCGCGACGGCGGGAGTGGCGGGTACTACAGTGGTTGATCCAGCCGAAGACACTACTACCGCAGGCCCTCTGACAGTGGTGGCGATGCGACAAGAGTTGAGTCTCGTCAAGAATGCAGCATCCGGGCTAGAGGGCGCTCTGCGGGAGAGTCGGTCTGAGGTACAGCTGCTGCGGGAACTGCTCGCGACAGAACAGGATACGACCCGGAAACTCAGGTATCCCCTGGTGTGCACATCGCAAATCGGAGTTAATAGTTGGCTGTGAAGGGCGTCAGCCGAGGTCCGTTTGATGACGTGATAATATGTCCAATCAATACGACTGTGTTGAATGGTGCCGCTAGAACATGCCCGGCATCTTGTGTTTTCAATACGCTGTGGCGCTTGCCGTGCGTTGTGTGAGTGGTTGGGCAGCGGTGTTTTTGGGACACGCGTTTTATGTTTCACGCTTCCCGCCTGGTGCAGTGACGAAGTGAACGCAACCAGGATGGGATTCCAAGAGTCCAACGCAGCGCACCAGAGGACCGCAGAGCAGAGCCATGCACTCGAGGAAGAACTTTACAACACTCGCACGGTGGTGGAGTCCTTGAGAGCGGAATCGGCTGCGCTCAAAGCAAAGGTAAACTTGCCAACGGACCATCAATTTTGAGTTTTTCTACGCCCGTTAGGCGATGCACGTGACAGGGCAGGGCTGTGGGCCGCTCTTCGACCTTTGAATCCATTTACGCTTTGAGATTGACGATCACACACCTCAGGTTGACGAAGGCGTAGAGGACAGACACGCGTTGGAAGGTAAGTTGCGGCATTTGCAAGCTGGCCTAACAGAAGGACAAGAGGCAGCGCGGCAGGAAGGGAGGCAAGAAGTGGAAAGGCTTGAGGCCAGGATTCGGGATTTATTAAAGGACAGGTAAGCCATGGCTGTGGTGTTGCAAAGAAATTTGTAGCTGTGGCTCAGACGCACCCTACATATTTTCCCGTGCGCTCCTTGCAACGAAAGGAAGGCAATGTCTTGTGTGGGGTAGGATGCAAGGTGACTACTTGTGGTTTCTGTCAAATACGTCGTCAGGTCCAAGCGACCTTCGTAGCGAACTGAATAGCTTTCACGTTCCTCTCGTGCTGTGTCCCTGTTGCTACTTGGTCCAAGGGACCGGAAACAAGCGGAGCTGGACTTGCAGAATGCACGGCGAAAGGAAACGAGGGAGATGGCACGGGACCTGGAGAGTCAACTGGCGGCAGTTGAACGCATCGCTCAGGTATGGGCGGTGGTCCTCGCAGAGCGCCGCACGGGCAACCTCCTTGTTCCACAGAAGGGAGTTGTCACCTTTGATAGCGTGTGCACGTCCGGAGACACGCACGAACGTGCAACCTGCAATCCCACGTTTCGCCATGTCGCAATGGATGCGCCACCCGTGCATGTTGCCGGTGGTGTGAGCACGACCCGGAGGTTGGCTGTTGTCATCGTCGACCGAACTATGCGTATTGTACTGAGTCTGTTTCGCATGTATTTCCTGCCATGACGCGATATTTTCTCTCGTTTTAAAACCACTTTGCACATGTACCGCGAATGCACCGTAACACATGCTTGGCTGAATTGAAGGAGCGTGAGGTGGAGCTGAGCAAGCAGCGAGACGACATGGTAGCCTTGAAGAAGAACACAGGCGAGGCAACTGACCAGAAAAAAACGTGGGCTACCAAATACGAGGCTCTCGAGCGCAATTTTAAGCAGGTGGGCGTATACCTGCCGTCGATGTATCATTTTCAGTAAGCGGGAAACCCCTTGAGCGTTTATGTAGGAGGTATTCTTCTATATATTTCAAGACGCTCGTTGGTGCTACATTATCGCTGTTTCATGTGTGCTTATCCTCGCGGCGAACGCCTTTGAATGATTGGTGGTATTCGATGCCCATGGCTTCGAACAGGTGCGCGCGCAAAGCAAAAGGATAGAGTCTGAGCTGGATGAGGCTCGCGAGAACGTCACTCGCATCGAGGCCGAGAAGGCGGTCCTTGAGGAACGGGTTGACGTGGAGGGAGCGGAGCGTGTGACAGTGGTGACATCGGTTTCCCAAGAGCGAGATTTTCTCTTGAGGCAGGCAAGCATTTCAGCTCAAAAGGCAGTTTTTTTTGTTCCATGCACACGTTTCCACGCGGTCTGTGAATGTCACATATGGCCGCTTATTCGCGGTTGCTTTTGCCATTTATCCTAGGGTGGTAAGAATGCATTATTCGGTCGCATTCGAATTTAGTTTGATTTTCCGTATCTCATGTAGACTGGACGGGTACTTTGGATTTTCTAGACGGGTACACGTCCAGTGCGATACTGTTCGGCATGTGATAGGCATGCCATGAACGATTGATTCGCTTCCCAGACAACGGTACAGTTGACTGCGTCTGGTGCTCTCCATTTCTTGGTTGGCGTATATGCGCTATTGAGTGGTTGGCCTTTCACATGCTGCTTTGCTTCAATCTACAGGTTGATCGCTTGGAGCAAGAGGTCGTAGAACTTCGACGTTCACAAGAAGCACAGGCTACTGCTGCAGCAGCGCGCGCGCAAACGACAGGAGTGTTGGAGGAGTACCGAACGCGAGCCCAGCAAGCGCTGAAGCGTGCAAACGAGATAACGAGCCAAACGGCATCTGAAAACAAACGTCTCGAGGTATGAATAGGCGGATTATTTCAGCCGTGGGTGGTGGTTGATCGCCACGGTTTGCCTGGCAGTGTCATCGGTTGGTCACATCATGTAGGCTTGTTGTCTTGATTATTACCGCATTGTTGGGTGGGAGGGGGGGTGGAACCGCTGCACACCGCGGGTGAATGCTCACACTACTTTGCGCAAGACTACACAGTGCAACTCGGAGCAAGACCAGCTATGTGTTGTTTTTTTTGGGGGGGAAACGACACAACAGGGTATACCCTGGTCGAAAAGCGACACACCTGGGTACACAGTCATTAACAGCAGTAAATGCACTCATATCATTCGTCAGCGCCCAATTTCACCCCGGTGCCTCCGAAAAGGCGCAGGGTATACCCTGCCGTGACTACTTTTCTCAACAACTGTACCCTGTTTTCGGAAATGTACCCTGACCTGACGGGAAATGAGACCCTTTCATCAATCATTTCCCCCGCAGGAATCTTCCCAACTCCTTTTCCCCTCCAACCATGGGATACCAAACGGCGAATCTTCCCGCCGAATAACAACCATGGCAACGGGGCAGGAATCAGTTTCCGGCCCCTGCGAAACAACACCAACCATCAACTATTCCGCTATAAATCAACAATGACCGGGCAACACCCCAGCACAACTGTTCCGTTTGGAAACATGGACACACGCGTACAATACCCCGTGGACTACTGCTTGCTTCAGTCTATATGCGAGATGCACGGGTCACGCTATGAAAGCGAGACCGATCCAGCATGGTTGACATGCATATACGCATGTATGTGCCAATTTGTGGCGCTGTGCTGGCGGCGAGCTCGCGCCCGCAGATAGGGTGGAGGGGAGAGGCAGGACCAGCACACACAGACACAACCTTGACATCAATCACGCACACACGAGTCTTATCCTTACTCTAGCAGCAGGACACTGCCGTGTCGTCCAACTCAATCACCCTCCCTGTCGGTAGAGAGAAGAAAGAGTGCTCGCGTTGTATTTCATCGGCTCATCCCGCTGAAGCCTGACGTCTTCTTACTACATTGATTGATGGGTTGGCTTGGTTGGCTGGTAAGCGTGACCGCTGCTGCTACAGCATTAGTTCAAGCAAGAAACACATCGCAGTTGAGACACGACAGACAACACACGCATGCACACATGCATCTATATGCATGTCAACCATGCTGGATCGGTCTCGCTTTCATAGCGTGACCCGTGCATCTCGCATATAGACTGAAGCAAGCAGTAGTCCACGGGGTATTGTACGCGTGTGTCCATGTTTCCAAACGGAACAGTTGTGCTGGGGTGTTGCCCGGTCATTGTTGATTTATAGCGGAATAGTTGATGGTTGGTGTTGTTTCGCAGGGGCCGGAAACTGATTCCTGCCCCGTTGCCATGGTTGTTATTCGGCGGGAAGATTCGCCGTTTGGTATCCCATGGTTGGAGGGGAAAAGGAGTTGGGAAGATTCCTGCGGGGGAAATGATTGATGAAAGGGTCTCATTTCCCGTCAGGTCAGGGTACATTTCCGAAAACAGGGTACAGTTGTTGAGAAAAGTAGTCACGGCAGGGTATACCCTGCGCCTTTTCGGAGGCACCGGGGTGAAATTGGGCGCTGACGAATGATATGAGTGCATTTACTGCTGTTAATGACTGTGTACCCAGGTGTGTCGCTTTTCGACCAGGGTATATACCCTGTTGTGTCGTTTTCCCGGTTTTCTTTCGACGGGACGGGCTTGTGTGTGTGTGTGCATTTTCAAGAATAGCCCGTTATCACGGGTTAGTGCGGTGCAGATGGGGCGAGCTACAGAACGGTGGTGTACTGTTATTCTCTTGTTTCGAGTAAGGGCATCACGCAACATCTCCCTCGGTACAGGGTAAGGTTGTGACACTTGGCTTGTAGTGATTTGCATTTACCGTTGTGTAACCGGGGCCGACACAGCGACCATTGTTGGTCTTCCTTGTGTTTTTTCTCTGAACCAGGCGGAGATGAGCAAGCTTTCTGATGAAGTGGCTCAGCAGCGCCCTTTGTGGGAACAATCGAAGCAGCTGGAGGAGGTTCATCGCGCAGAGGTTGCTGAGGTGAATCGTATAAAGTTCGCTGATGTCGGTGATTGCACGTGTTCCGTTTCCCGTTAGTTTTCTGGCCCACATGTTGCTGTTGCAATGGGCTGCTACCAATGCAGTTCCTGTATTGCTGGGCTTGCAAGTGCTTCGACGGGACAACAATGGCGGTAAGATAAAAGGTGTAGTTTTCAGCTGGGTCCTTGGATGCAGGAACACTTGAGTTATTCCCCCGCTGTTCAACAGGCCCAGTCCACCCCGGAAGCCAGTTTGCGCTTCGAGCGAGACCTGATGAATCCTTGGCCCGTCCTCGCATGTTGACATGTACACGGCAGCTCAAGGAGAAACTAGCAAATCAGGCGACCGAGCTGGGCAACATGGCGACGGCAGCAGCTGCCTTGGAAGCACAAGTGTCAGAGAAAGAAGAGGAGAGAAGGGATGCGCACACCTCGGTCATGCGGCTGGAAGCTCAGGTGACGAAGTGCTGCATGACTGAAGGCGTACAGCATACTGTAGACCGTTGCTTTAGGTCGCGACTATGTCCACCGCACTCTGTGTGCCATATTCGTTATAGAGAGGAGATTGGTCCAAATGAATTTCGCTTCTCGCGTTGAGTTGCGTACTCGTAGTAACCGGTGCGCACTCGAATTGACTGGCGCGTCCTTAAACAGGGTAAAAGCCTCAAACAGGAGCTGCAGCGACAGCAAAAGGCACTCGCTGCGGCCCAAGAGACCGAATCCACCCTGCAAACCCGGTTGGCAGACCAGGAGGCCGCGCTTCAAGACGCCGAAAACCGCCAGCGTCGAAAACATGTGAGAACATTCGGTCACCGTTGCTCCGGCGTTGTTCAAAATGTCACAAAAGCTGACAGAGTGTCGGTATGGTATCCGCGAATGATTCGTACATGACTGCCGATGGTGTACGTTGTCTGGGATCTCCTAATTAGTCGGTTTACATAATTACATGTGCCACGCTGACATGATAGTCGTTGATCACGACACAGCGTCACAATTTGTTCCGTTACTTTCCTTATCGCAGTCACCCGAAAAGGTTGACGTGAACGCTGACATGGGCAAGAACCTGTCTAGCCCGACGCCTGCAGTTTCGTCACTTTCGATGGGCTGGGACGAGGAAAAGCACGGTTCTCGGAATGGCACCCCGCGGAGAGGAATGGGCACCGGGGCGACTGGAGCGGCATGGCCTGAAAGGCGTAGTCTGGGGGAGAGTGTCAGCAGCATGCCGAGCGAAGCAGACTCAGCAGATGTAGCACAAGGAAGCGTGGGGGAGCAACTCTTCTATGTTCATCAGCTCAGGGAGCGCATGTCCAAAGAACAGATTGAGATGCGATCTCTCATCAGGTACTCGTCGTCGCCTGCAGCGCGCCTTGTGTCTGTTCCCGCTGACGTGCCTTTTTTACCATCTATACCGGATAGGCTGTCCGAAATTTTTAACGGTTTAGCTTAAGCCCAATCAGCGTGTCGATTTCGAGGCATCGGTGGGTTTCCGACAACGCGTTTCTCTTTGTCGATTCAATCCGTATCCCGTCTCAGCGAGCTGGAGGCCTCTCGAGCTGCTGCGGACGCACAGGCTGCCAAGCAGGCTCAGCTGGAGAAACAGCTGGACGCAGCCTTGCTGGACAAGAAGCGCCTTCAGGATCTAGACTCTGGTATGAAAACGAGACATGAAGGCTTGCTCCCCCGAGGGTTGGTTTCGTCCGTGTTTGTCGCAAGTTCGGTGGTGTGTTCTCAATTTATCCATGTTTACGGAGCGCTCGCTTGGGGCGCTCGCTCGCTCCGCTGTGACTTGTGCTTGATGGTATGCACGATGTTTAACAACTGACACTTCACGGCTGCCCCCGTCTCTTGTGCCCCTTGTCGTCAGGTCGAAATGCTGCCATCAACCTGGAATATCTCAAGAACTGTGTTGTAGGCGCACTCCGTACCTCGGAGCCGTCAGAGCACGCAAGACTACTGCCTGTGATCACGACGATCCTCAAGTTGTCAGAGGACGAGGCTGCAGTGATTGCCAAGAACATCAGCACGCGAGCACAGCACCAGGGAAGCTTCGGGGGTTCGTTGCCACCTGGTGGCGACGCTAGGGCCTCTTCTTCTAGTAGTAGTTCGCGGAGTTGGTGGAGTTCCAACCCCCATCAGAAGTAAATCCGTTTGTAATAGTTTGGTTACCTGCTGTATCTCGTGTTATGGTATCAGACGTTTGTTCGGTTGGGCGCTTGGGCCAACGGATGTCTGCCATCCGGCAGAGGCCAAGATTGACTGGACCTCCTCGAATTATTTGTGTACAGTCAGCGAAAGTAGAGAAGCACCAGCGGACACTTTCGGTCATGAATCGGTGCTGTAATTCCACAGACGGAGAACCACTGGAGTCTGCGGTGTATCGGGCTTTTGGTGTGCTGCTGGTAGGTTTCTTCGAAGATGTTGCACGTTCACGTCTGGAAACAAATGAGACGTGATGTTAAATGGTCTTCTCCGAAATCTGCAGAACCTCCGTTGCCATCTGGTGTGCCCGTAAGCTATGTGATGGTTGCGTACATCTGGTGTGTTGTGGGAGTCTCTGTTCGTCCTTCGAGCAGAACAATGACGCGGGATACACACAGATAGATCACAGTCGAGAACTAAATGCAAGAGCGTTCCACACCGCTTCGCCTAATAGGTCATGCGAACCGTATTGCCTCGTGTTCCATGTGTTGAGCTCCCGATTCTTCATTTCACTGCTACATGTAGGCAGGTATCGGTATAACCATGCGAGGTCGCGTTGTCCGTATCAACATGCAACGGGCAGCAATACGTTTCCAGGACGTTCCGTACACTGGAGTTCGTGAGAGCTGTGCACTCCACACCTGCTGTCCCCAGCGGCGGCCCACGGTGCCACTTGTATACTTATAATTTAGCACACATCAGCTTGCAGGAGGAACACATACTACACACGTGTCAACCACTAACAAGTGCATACGTGCACAGCAGTTCAGCAGTTCCCTATGATACCAATACTGCTGTATGTAGTTCGACCTCGGGGGCGGCCGAGACTGTCAGATTTTGTCCGCGTGCCCCCCAAACTGCTGATCTTGGCTGATCCTTGGCTGATCTCAACTTCGGAGATATGATGTGTATCGGCGTATCGGCGCATCGGCACATCGGCAACCCTCTCTGTACTTTTCGTCTACATACCTCCTGCTGAACGTACCAGACACACGGGCAAACCTACCAGCACCTCCAGGAACCGCCGATTGACGACGCTGCTATATAGGATGGTGCGATTTTCGCCACGTACGCGTACAGGGCTTGTTCCGATGCTGCGGCTGACTGGAATTCTTCGTGATTCCTTTCTCAGTACAGCAGTATGCATAGACTAGTGCCGTTCGCGTCAGACTGCCACTCCTTCAGCAAATATCAAAACGAAGGACTTAGTGGTAGGGGGGAGGGACATGCAGTCAGGTCTCGGGAGGAGGTTTCATTGTTTCTTGCTAATCGGGCTACTATGCATACGATGTAACTATGTTAATACTGCTGTGCTGTTGTCGATGTTGTACGACTACTGCTGACAGCTATACCCCTCGAGCCTATCTGTGTATGCCAGCAGCAGCGTGTGCAACGAACGCCATCTACAGGTTTGTCTTGCTCCCGTTGGCGTGCTCTCTGTCTCTCTCGCTCTGGCTCGCTCTGCAGAATTAGTTGTTGAACTTCACGCAGAGCAGTTGATGACCCATGTTCTCATGTTGTTTGGCGTTGTGTCTCCCACGCGAGAAAAAGGCGAAGTGAAAGTAGTATAGGTCACATGCAATATTACTGCTGTAGACGAAAGAGGAACGTCTGACCCTCCCAAACTCTGGCAATCTCCTTGTTTTCGCAGGGAATTCTGAAAAATGAAGGAGGACCGACGACGCGTGTGTCTTTTGTACACCGATCGAACCTATCTGTGCGGTGAACAACCTCTAATAATGAAGAAGTGCTTCTTGCCTTGTTTCGTGCAGGGGAACACGAGCGCGAAGGCGGCCTCAGAGCCAGTTACCACCGAGAAAATCAAGGATATTGGGCTTCAGCGCATGACGGTAGCAGGGAGAGATACGCCCGTAGCAACGGCGGGGGGATCTATCCCGGCAGGCGATCTGTGGAAGGATCAACCAGCGATCGTTTTCGTAGTGCGGCGGCCTGGATGTGCACTCTGCCGTGAGCATGGTGAGGTTTCGGATGTACGCGTGAGTTGCATGTGTAGTGAACGAAACCCGGCCATGTTCAGCACATAATGTTCCCATGTGCGAATCCTCGAGAGATCTCTGTGACATGGCAGGGGCAAGAATTTGGCAAAGTTCACAGCAGTATTAACTAGTTGTTTTTTCTGAATTTCCAAGCAAGCAGAGGTTAGTTAGGTGTTGCTACACGTGCATTCGTGCTGTTTTTGAAGCTTAGGCTTACAGGAGTTTACAACAGCCTGCAGCCAGCCAAGCTACATTTTTTTAGTACCATGTCGGATTTACTAGGTAAGTGCTGTCACGTTTCCGTACATGGGCAACGGCATTTTGGTTTGCGGCTCAAGACTAATTTCTTCTTTGGCGTGGGGTACAGGCCAGAATATGCAACTTAGAGTTGGACGCACGTACGCCGAAGCGGTGTTCTGCAGCGATTTCTTTCACTTAGCAACCTTGCTTTCGTAAGCAAGTATCTCTCTGCAGGCTTAACTTGTATCATCATGTGTCATTCGCCGTATACGTTACCGCAAGCAGAGTTTTTCCAAACAGTAGAGGTCGTCACTAATATTAGTGGTCCACAGCTGCCATCATCTGAGACCTTCCATGCTCTTGCCGGTGACAGCGCAGGATCTGAGTAACAAGCAACCAGATTTCGCGGCCAAAGGGGTGAAACTCGTTGGAGTTGTCCACGAGAAGCTTGGCGTGGAGGAATTCTCGGGATTCTTCAAAAACGGCGAAATTTACTTTGACGAGGAGAAGGCGTTCTTCAACGGTACGTGCCCCTGCTTCACCATTGTGCAGACGCTCGCGATAAAAGTTTTCCACCGTCTGTTGTGCCAGAATTGACGTATTCACTCCTTGACCATAGATTCCTTCACTGTCGCAATCTCGCAGCGCTGGGCATGCGGTGGGAGGGTTTGTCTTCTCTGATGAAACCGAGCGTGATCAGCAACGCAAAGCGCGCATCGGCCAAGGGCGTTAAGGGCAACCTGAAGGGAGAAGGAAGGCTGCTTGGCGGGCTCCTTGTGGTAGGGAGCGGAGATTCCGGCATCGCCTTCGAGCACAGGGAGGCGGTGAGAAAAACTTGAAAAAACTCATTGGTATCTTTTCGCGTCGTTGAAGCCCTTGCTACGTCGTTGACACTCAACGACGACTACGGTCTCTCCGCCACTCTGACTTTACACCGCATGCAAAAGGGTGAACAGTCTCGACCCTTTCCCCCTTTTGCCTTGCGTTCCACAGGTTTTTGGCGATCACGCGAGTATGGATGCTATCATGGCGGCAGTGGACACGGTAGTGCCCAAACCCTCCGGTTAGGACCTCTGCGAGACAATGACGCAATAACACAAGGAACGATTGCCTGAAGTTTGTTGCGTGCCGAATCGCATGTGCATGTGACTACTAACATGCTTTATCCTCTTCGTATGGATCTTGGAGAGTAGAATATAGCATCAGTGAATCATGGTAGATGATCTGAGGAGACACCTGCTCAGTGAACATGGCGACTTGGGTTTTACGGCGTTTCAAGCTTTGGCAAAGACTCCATCCAGTGTTGAAGGTACTACTGTACATACTGAAGAAATTATAATGGGCGCCTGTTGTCGAACCCATGGAGCAGTTATTATAGTTGACTTTGAAGCGGGTACGGACCGCGATTTCCACCCGCCTTCCCATACGTTGCAATACCCCAAAGTTTTTTTTCCCACGCCCTAAGGTTGGTTATCTGGATTGTTTCCCCCCAGGCTCAATGCCCAGCGATTTATGTCATCTATGCCTGAGGGCGGAACACCTGCTGCGAACATCATCCATTCCGGGAACATGATCATCCCGCGAGGGGGCACTTCACGAAACCCGAATATCCTTCGATTCAAGACATGCCACGGCGGCCTCTGCCTCGTGCGTGATACGTCATCCGCCCCACCTTCTAGCTCATTCTTACTGGTCCCTCTGAAGATGCAGGGGTCTTGTTGCGCTACTTTTAAGGTGCGATTTCGAAGCATTGCCCAAATTGGACGTGGCCTGTGCAGTTGTCGTGGTGGCTCTTTGGGGACCCACGACGCAGCCCTTACATCCAGAACTTCCTGGTTCGCCTCCGAGGGACTCAATGCAGTAGCCTGGGTTCTGGCGGCCACTAGGAATCGCCCCCTGCTTCCTGATGCGCCCTCGCGTACCGGAACTGACACCCTTCTAATGATGCGCGTCGTTTTGTGCGCTGGGCACCAGCCCCTTCTCTCCCTGGGTGCTGTTGTTTGTACCATATCTGACTTGATCTGATGCACCTCTGGTGGCCCCGGAAATCTAATCAACGCTTCCCGCTTCCGCAAGGCTGTTTCTACCACCTCCGTCCGTGTGCGGGCCGCTGTGGCGGAGTCGCACGACGACGAATCCTCGACAACTCCATGCGCTAGAATGGCAACGCAAGTGCTTGGCGTCGTTGTTGCTGTCGACGATCGCTTCATTCTGCTGTTTTCAGAGGGACAAACCTCGTCCGTAGATGACACAGCGGTGCTCGCAACACTGGTCAATAGACCACTGGTGCTCGGGTAGTGAGGTGACGGGAAAACACTACAGAAAGAAGGGCAGTCCTCCTCAGCAGCTCTGTGGGGTGAGTTGCTTCTACTGATATTGTCGTCTCGATTGATGGTGGAACGAACAAGGAGTGATACCCGCCACGGGATGGGGGGAGTGGATTCCTGGACGCGTGCAAGCGGCGTCTTGACACACGGACGGTAGCCGGAACATTGTGAGGTTGAAGTGCCAACCACACCTGTTTTTACGCCCTGAATAGCACCACCAACCACGCCATCTCCCGTCCGGCATACTTCCGAACCCGCAAGCTCTGGCTCCCGGCATCCCCCGCGCACGTTTGTGTAGCTATCGTACTGCCCAGCGCTCGCTGGTGGTGTCACCATATTATGCCGTTGAACATGTATTGCAGAACACCGCCCGCATGTGCAGCCGTGTGTCGGAGGTATCATGCGGATGAGACAGACAGACACAGAGAGAGAGAGAGAGAGAGAGAGAGAGCAGGTACATGTAGTCGTTTTTTGTCGTTTTCATGTTTGTGCTTTTCAGTTACAAATCAACAACCCCAATAACGAACCAAAACGCCGTCGCGTTCTCCACGTATCCCCGGTTATCCCGCGCGGGGGCGCGGGGGTCATCTTCGCACAAGCTTTCCCCAAACGGCAAAACATCTCTCTCTTGCTCTCTTGCCCTGCCTCGAAGAAAGAATGACGCACGCAGCCCTGACTTGGTGCTTGGCAGTACTGTCGCTTTTTTCCAGAGATGATGCTTTCGTCGTCCGGCGATCTCTTTCAAGTGCATACAACCCCGCGGCTGGCAGGCGCTCGAAACATGAGGCAAGTGAATTTTGTTGTACACAATTGTTTGTGCATAGTCTTAGACGATGCGGATGTGGTACGTTTCACAGAAGACGGCACGTGTCCGTACGTCCGCGCGCTTTGTCATAGGATCACTTTCTTGCTTGTGACCTGTGACAGGGATGATCAATACTACTTCTTTAGGCACGGTGGCGCTTTTGTCGTCGATACGACGGCTTATCAAGGTTGCTTGTCTCTCGATCGTTGTTTCCGAAGCAGGTGATCTTTGACTCTCGATGGAACCGGGATTCACCACCCGTTGTCAACCTACGGGGTGGAGGGGGACAGGTAGGGCGCTGCGGGGAGCTGCTTGATGAATGGGCTCTTTGGTTCAGAGGCAAATTCCCTCAAGGCCGTACTTGCAACAACGACAAGCACGATATTGTGTGGACCAAGCGTAGCTACAAACAGGGTTGATCGCGCGCAGCGCGCAGCAGGCACGTCATGGACGTCTACATGTACCTCCTTACGTTTCCAGGCACCAACTATTTACCATGAATGACAGACACATGTCATCACACTCAGAAAAGATCCACGCGCCTCCTCGTTGCAGAGTACCTCGACACACGACATGGCGTGCGGGGTGTAGTTTTTTACGGCTTAAAGTTTGTCCGAACAGGAGTCACCCTGTGTATCCACCAAGTCAAGGTTGCCACGACGTACTGCTTGTACGGTCACACCTTACCGCCGTACCGAGTACAGGGTGCGGTATTGTTTCAAGGGCTCTTATCACTACGACGTGGTATCCTACGTCCCTTGGGATATTTTGTACCACAGGGCACACACTCAACAGGAGCTCTGCTCGACCACGCCCGACAGAGATGACGTCGTGGACGCCGAGGCGCTGTTGTGGAGGTGTCGCTGCGGTTCCACGATGATGCGTACCCTGTCAGCGTGTTCGTTTCTACAAGATATATGTACCCGCTGATATATCCTTGCATGCAGGTGCAGCAGGTCGCCACGCAAGAGGAGCTCGAACAGGTTATCTCCAACAGCAATGGTGCTCTCGTAGTGATCGACTTCACAGCAACGTGGTGTGGTCCCTGCCAGAAGATTTCGCCTGTGTTTGAGCTCCTGAGCCAGGAGTTGACAGACGTGGTGTTCTTAAAGGTCGATGTGGACGAAAACGAGGTGAAGGGTGTAACGGATACCGAGGTTTGACAGGGGTTGGTGGCGCAACCCGTTAGTCTTGATCGAAGGTGTTTCTATACCAATTTCAACCATGGGGGGCATGCGTCGACACAGCTGGGGGTTGAGTATAGTGCCGATGTTGGATGACTTAGTGTTTTATCAGGTGCTGCCCCCAGCCTCGTCCCAAACGGCGTCTTTGGCTAGCGGCTGTCATCTGTAGGTATTCCGTAATGGCGTGTCCCCCGCGTGGTGCTGCTCTCGCAACAAGTTTTTTGAAAATGCGAAGCGAAAGGAGAGCAGGAAGAAGTCACGTGACGCTGTGGTATCTCCAGGATGATGTATTTCTCCTGCCCGCAGCAACGGCAACCACTTTCGTTACGGTGTCCACCACACCACCACACGAACGTCCAGACTAACCCCCACCCGAATCCCTACTCCGTCTGGCATTGCTGTAGGAAACCGCGCAAAAGTACGACGTCGTTCAGATGCCCACCTTTCTGTTCATGAGAAAAGGTGAGGTGGTGGATCAGTTCTCTGGTGCTAGCGTCGCTATGCTGCGAGAGAAGATCGAGGCTCTCCGAGGGGATGGGAGCAACGCCGAGGCGGCAGAACATTGTGAGCCGGAGGAAGGCGGGGACACGGAAGCGGCAGAAGACGTGACGGACTCTTGAGCGTCGGGTTTTCTTCCGAATGCGAACACGGAACAAGTTCACGAAACTCTGAAATCAGGCGGTAGAAGTCGCAGTTTGCTGTGCGGTCAAGATGATACCCCGGCGGTATCTCAAGCGCAGTCTTGTGGAAAGGATGGGACTGGCCCTGCCTTTCAGACACACCTTCAATCGTGTGGTTGGACGTATACTTTCAAGTAGTCGCGTGGCCAAGAGCAATTGCGGCAAGGTGTGAGGTTTTGTGTCATGGCGCAAGTCGCTTTGAAACAAAAAGAATCGCGTTTTGGTTCTCTCTCGCGGGTGTTGCGCACGTGCCAAGAATTGTGGGATGAGGTTGCCCGAAAGGAATCCTCGAACGAGTTCTCTGGATGGTACAGGTGCTGGGTTCAGATCCTGGCACATGCACTGGTTGAAAATGTTGTGAGTTTGCATGGTTGAGGGCAAGGTGACCGCTCAACTTCGCGTCAAAACTGAAGGTGCACATCGTAGAGGGCCTCCTTGACCCCGGATCGTAGCTCCTACGCATAGAAGACAAGTTCGTGCGGTAGGTCGATACTGCGAGCGACGGCGGTACGTCAGGTGGAACCATTGACCAGAACAATGATGCATGCTAGCTTGCCCATCCGGGCGTAAGGTTGATATATTTCAAGAACTTGTGTGTCTACGGGATTGGCCATTCCAAAGCAGCTTGATTCAATCGGTGTTTTCACCTTTGTGGAAATTGAAAGCCTTAAACTATGCACGTCTCCACATACGTATCCTGTGTGCCGCCTTCCTAGTTCACTATTTAGCGTACCTCATGCGTAGATGCGGGGTCGGTTGATACGACAACCCGCGCTACCTTGCGAATTGCAGACAGCAATCGGTTCCTCGTGAGAAGCGTAAACGAGAAGCGTAACCAAACCACGGCGCCGCAAAAAAACAAGGCAACACCCCAAGCCTAAACAACGCCAGGGTACGGCTGCAGTACTTGAACGGAGTCACAACCGTACGGAGCGGGGACTAGACACGCCAAGCGCTTCCCTGAAAGTATCTCCGGCCTGCCGGTGGCGAAGCTTGAGTAACGACCCCCGAGCACGAAAGAGTCAGTACCTCGGAGTGTACATAACAGAGCGAATGTGGGCCTCAAGATCTGCAGGCTTCGGCAACACGCTGGCCTGTCCTGTGGCGTACTTATTGGCTGCGATTGCGACGGCCACCTTGAGTGACACCTCACGGATGTCTCTCAAGGGCGGGTATACGCACGAGGCGTCCAACTGGTCCTATAACAACACGTCGGACAACGGGAAGGGCAAGGTTGAGACGGAAGACAATAGTTGCAGGTACAGGGGAGCAATTGCAACGGGGTGAAGCACACTTGGCCCGTAAAATAACAGCACAGCGTTCCAATGTGAAACATCGGGTTACCTTCGGAAAGTACGGCACGAAACCGGGCGTTCAAATTCACTTCGCTGGCTGATCTTCGTCTTCTCTAGGATACAGCACAAGAATATGAAGTGAGTACCTCAAGTTGGGCGTTGGAAATGTAGAGTCTACGTCCAACACATTGGGCCACAGCAGTAAAGCACTTGCCTGGGGTATTGTTGCCGCCAGGGCCTTGGCGGCGATGTACATGTCCAGGTCCGTGATGCGCGTTGCACCACAGGCGAAAGCCGCAAGCCCAACCCCAGGGAATATGTAAGCGTTGTTTCCCTGCCACGTGGGATTGCAACGACAAGCGCCGGGCTAGGATTGACCTATCGACGGGTCGGCGCTGGAAATCGAGCACAGGGCATCCTATTTTCCACAAGTATTGTCATTCTATCTACCACAACGGCAAGCGCAAGGAAAGTCGTTGGTTTTGTCCTGGTGCACCAAACCTACACAAAACACTCATGCGGTGCACCTGACCGGGCACGTATGTTTTGCCCTTGAACTCGACGGGCCCGAAAGGGCTTCCTGATGCGAACACAGCGGCACCGTCAGACCACCGGTAGGCCTCCTCGGGGGTGCACTCTGCCTTAGAGGTGGGATTCGACAGCGCGAAGATGATAGGCCTTTCGTTGTTGGCGGACATCTCCTCGATGACCGCTTGGTTGAACGACTTGGCCAGCGTGGACACTCCGATGAGGGCGGTTGGCTTGAGAGCCTTCACAGCAGACAGCAAATCGGGGACGTGCTCTAAAAAGAAGTACGGTCGCAGTCATCGGGGCAACGTGGGCAGGGGCGCAAGGGTCTGAGTTACAGCAAGTTCTCAGTACGAAATTATTGCGAGCGGAGTTAGGCCTAACGCATTCGCATTCGCTCGTGTGACGGAACTATGCGTGCGTGATTTCATCCGCATTGAAAGTTGTAGATGTGCACCGCAAAATGACTCAAGACTATAGTTCTTCAAGAACCTCAATCTTGGTCATGCCGAACACATCGAAGAACACTTGCGTTTACGAAGCCCGTCGCAACGCGTAAACGAAAGACTTCAAGGCACGGGTAGAGCAGGACCATCACAGAGCTACCGACCCTCACCTGCATCATGAGCAAAATTAATCTTGTGGTGTTGCAATTCGCCAAGTCGGCTCTTACACACCAGACCATTGGAGTCCAGCATGAAAATTTGCTTCCGGCACTCCTCGATGGACTTCCCCGTCTCGACCTGCGCAGTGCACACAATTAACACAATGTAGGCAGGGCAGCGAGTGCTACCTTGGGATACACCTCACTTGAGTGGGACTCTGCTGATGCCGAAGTTCTTGATTAGTAGTATCCCAAAAGTAAGCCTGCGCTGAGATATGGGAACTCTTGTTTCTCTACATAGACACCACCGCTATTTATAGTTACGGCTTCTCTGCATCTCGAAGCAGCCTTGCTTGCTGCACGTTCTCATGGATTCCATTCGTATCCTTGCCCCGCTAGTAGCATGACCATTTCCTCGACTCACCTGGATCGCGTACGCAATGAGCTCTGCTATTCCAGCCCCGGCCTCTCCTGCTCCCAGAAAGAGGAAGCGGTGGTCGTTCACGACAGTTCCAGTTATCGCAGTGGACCCCAAAATACCTGCCAAGGCCACGGCAGCTGTGCCTTGGATGTCGTCGTTGAAACAACACACCTGCCCATCCGAAGGTCGTTGAGTAGGGCTGGGTGAACAGAAGTGTAGTGCGCGGCACTATGTACGGTGCAGGGTCTACCTCCATCCATGAGATTTACCAGTACAAAACATAAAATCCGGCTAACCTGTGATGGCCTCATCTTTTTCGGGTGCCACAATTGTCCACTGCCACTGCATTAATCAATTCAACAAAAAACTCTACACCGCGCAGCAATTCTCTAGCCTGAAGGGCTGACCTTCTCCTGCCAGTGGTGAAGCAGACGGAAGGCGTTGTTGTTTCCAAAATCCTCGAACTGGTGGATAAAATGGCCAGCACAGCGAGATCAAAACAGGGCGTGGGGCGTGTGTGGGTGTCAACGGTGCAATGCAAGATACAGCAGTAGCCATGACAACCCGGGAAGAATCAGGGCCAACGAAGAAATTTTTGGTGTTGCGCCGGTCTGCGTTCTACAACATGAAATTCCCTCAAGCACACCTGCAGCATGACTGATTTGCCGTACTTGTCCACGGCAGCCTCCATAAACTCCGCCACAAAGGCGTCGTACGCTTCTCCAGTTAACTGCCGAGAGAAATGATCAAGGTCGGGGGGGGCGGGCAAGACAACACCAAGGACTGGAGCGATGACACGGGAGACACATGCGGTACAATGTATGAGAAAACTGCCCCACTACACTCGGACCGCTACCTACACATGTGAGGCCGCCCGTTTGGTATACCAATAACCAACCGCTACAGCACGCAATTAGTATTTGAGGAGGGGTGCGTCCGCAGAAAAAATCGCAAGCTCACCCGGCGACGCTTAAGGCCGATGTAGAAAGGGTCGTTCAACTTGGCCTCGTTGTTGGTTCCGACGTCCAGGGCCACCGGGAGGCAGTGGGAAGGGTGCACTCCAGCACATGCCGTGTACAACGCAAGCTTACCAACCTGAACAGGGAAGTTATTCGGCGAGGTACTCGAGCTGAGAAAAACATGAAATAATTAGCGGGAATAGAGGACCACGGAGAACAGCGTTCTCGGAGGCATGCAGTGTTTATGCCAAGCTACAAGGAGGAGACACTCGAAGCTTCCTGAACTGCTGATATAAGCTACATATTAGTGCCAAGAGAGACCCATCCGGCATATCCAAGAGCAGAGGCAAAACGTCATTAGGCCATCTTGACTCTGCTCACTGGGATACCCATCCCATCGATGCCCTGGTCGCCCAGTCCAAGTATTCGCTCTCCATCTGTGAAAACGATGGCCCGAATGTCTTCCACTGGCCAGTTATCAAGGATTGATCTCAGCTTCCCCCGGTCGTTCAATGACAAGTAAAGGCCCTGCAGCAACGAGACAACACGTTGCGAGGATGCTTGATGCGTGGAATCGGTGGGTCGATTTGTTGCAAGGCGCAAATCTAAATCCAACAACCCGACGTGTGTCTGCTTCCATTCCGTAACCCTTGCCGTTCTTTGTGCAGTACAACACGCCAAAAAACACGCGCCTGAGTTTATACAACAGCCACCAGCGACACCGCACTACTTTCAGCTACCATTTGAATATGGCGACACTCAAGCGACGCCGACGCCGACTGAGTAAACACGAGTGCAGGGTCACCGCCAGTTCATTTACACTCACCTGAGGCGTATGCCGGTAAATCTGGCTGAATTTCTGGCAAGCTTCCCCCACCACCGGCGTGTAGACGAAAGGCATGCACTCATACGTGTGGCGCGACAGTACCGCGTAGTACAGAGTCGCATTGACGTCCTGTCGCGTGTGACAGAAACGCGACAGGGAAGGCGGCGAACATGACCCCCGCGAGTCGGTATCAAGGCCCCGTGGCAAGGTCTCTGCTGCGGGGAAAGAAGCTAGCCACAGTTCGAGAAAGTGTGCAATACCAGCGGAAATCTTCGATGGGTACAACACAAGCAGCCCAGAAATAGAGAGTGCTCTGGGGCCAAGGTGTACAAACAACCCACAGCAGCAAATGCAAATAAATTAGTTCACGAGATGAAGCCAGGGAGGCCGGCCAGCAGCATCACACCTACTTACGTCAGCATCCGCAGCATTGCGAGCTACACCGTAGATACCCGCGCCGAGAAGCGTGCAACATGCCCTAAACGGTTCAACACCGCAACACGAAACAATACCAAACTGCAACGTAAGTGTGGATCTCGTTGCTTGGATCTGCCACACCCTCGGGAAACCCCTATTTGCACGACGCGAGTGCAAATAAGACCGTGCACGACTCGACTTGGGATTGGTCAAAACAGCGCGCGCAGCGTGCGGACCACGTTCTGACGTGCGGACCACGAACGTGGCGCAGCCGCGTTCGTGGCCAGTCTCGCCACCACGGCCCCGGTTGGACGTCCGTGAGGGTTAGGGTTAGGGTTAGGGTTAGGGTTGGGTTGGGTGGGTTGGGTTGGGTCGGTCACGTGTGTGTATAACCCAGTTTCAACCCATCCACGGAGGCGTTTCGAAGCGTGCACGTCTTATTTGCACGCGCGTCGTGCAAATAGGGGTAGCCCACACCCTCGGACGTCGTAGGTATGCATCCGTAGTCTTATGCACCCAACTGCGCAACCGAACAAGACCATGTGACGAAAACACGCCACTCGATCAAGGCAACGTCAGTGCGAGTTGTACAAACAAATGTCGGGCAAACCTGCAAGCTTTGGAGAAACACGTACTTATCCAGAGCGGAGGTTTTCCGGCGGAGCTCTTGCATGGTCAGCTCCACTTGGTCTTCCTGCGCCGTCAAGACGAGCGCACCCCGTGCGGCTGGTTAAACGCTTACGTTTCACGGTACTGTAAAGACACAGATGAGCTTCTACACGCATCAACAGCACCGATAGCGAGGGCGGCATCCGGTGCGGCATCATTACCTAGTGCCCTCATACAGGGCGGTCCGATGTCCCTTGATCCTCATGTGAAAGTTCAGTTGCACACGAAAACTTGGCGAATGTCACGTGTGGTTTTGTGCACCGATAGACTGAATCTCCTGGTGGGATTGAGCATTTTCTCAACTCATGCTGAGATTTGAGGTACCGCATAGTGCCCACAGCGCTGGTAGTGCATCGGAACCAGTCGAAAAGTTGCCTTTTTCAACTCCACGGCATTCTACAAGGGCCAGATTCGAAGATCACGAAGCCTGGCATTGCCCAGGATATGTGTGCGCCCGAATGCTGTACTATTGCTGCAGTCCACAACAGTCGCACGGCTAACCCCATCCTCAAAAGCCTCGAGAAGGCACTCACGCCTACGCAACCAAAAAAACTGAAGGGATCTACGCGAGTGGCCAGGGCGTTAAGTAGTCCTGCTTGGCAGCGCACTTCCACCAATTGACGGTCTAAACAATGTTCTACATTCCGGTAGGTACGGTTCGTCTACTTAAAAGTAGGAGTGCCAGCTTGGCGAAAAGATCGGGCCATCCCCGCCGGAATAAGGCCTAACACCCGCTCACACCCTTACTTGTGGTGCTGACCATGCGGCAGATCTCTTTAGGCTTTTACTGGGTGCATAGGCGCGTTTCTCGGGGCTTGTGGGGATGTAGCCGGGGTTGTTATTCCTAGGGATCAACTGACAACAACGGACACGCTACGCGCCACTTTAGAAACCACGCTGTCATGGTGAGCCAGCCCTCGCAATAAAGTACATGTCGGCACAAGAAACCTGCCCCCATCCCATCAGCACCAAAACACTGCTGTCGCTCACGAGCGCCAGACGTTGGTTTCACAACCACTGCTGTATGTTGGCAGTACGTGCGGTACAGACAGATATGTGATCTTTTTTGCAGCCGCGCTTGCTGGCCACGTGGAAGGCCGGGGAAACGGTTTCCAGTATTTACATGACTCATGTCATGTTGTCCGACGCTCGGGTTGGACAGCCTTCAGAGAAGAGTCTTATCGCTTGAGCACGTCCCACCTTCGAGTGTTGGTGTTTGGGAATATTGTCCGGCAGGCTTCCCGCCGCCAACATAATTCCTCGCGAGGCGGCAACATGTATTATTCCTTAAATCTGTGATGCTGCTGCCGTACTTCAACGGTTTCGTACGCACGTAAGTTGGTCCTGCGGCAGCCTCTGCCGCGTGCCGAACTCTACATTATTGCGCGCAGTTTCGATTCTCCGCAACCCCCAAAGAGGGGAATGTAGTGGAACTCTACATTCTCTCACCAACGTTAACGTGGCCGGAGGAAGAAGACCTCTCAACCCCAGGGTTTCCCTCTCAGCGTCGGTAAAACCAAGGCCCTTGTTTTGAGACGGTGTTTTCAACGTGGTGTAGCCCTTGGACCCCACAAATCCCTGCCGTGAGAAAAGGGATAGCGTTTGTGAAGAGAGGGACAACAGAAATTGCAGGATGATTCACTACAAAAAGTGGATGAGTTCCATACAACAGTCTACACATATGTTCGCGCCTATAGGAATTGAAAAAAAAGTACAGAAAAAAAAGTACAGACAAAAAATCACGCCGCCGATTTTAGCGGGGTCAATTTTGTTTCATCCCCTCCCCATATTGGACATGGCTGAGCCCAGTTCTTTCACCACCTCGTGGCTCCTTACACAGACCTTGTCGTTTCACCAAAACAGGCGGGCGCCTCAAGCAAGTCATACCCTCCATCGGAAAGCTGGTTTGATTTTGCTTTGAGCCGGAGAAATGTCTCGCGATCACATCTGAGTTGAAGCTGCCTTCCTGCTGCTGCACGCAACCTTTCAGCTCTGAGAAGCAACTTTCATCCAAGTTGGTTACCCGCTTCAGAGTCCCAATTCGGCCAAAACTCCGCACCATAGTAGAGATAAAAGACCATAGAATGAATGTATAATGTGCACTAATTGGGATCAGCACTACAGCGCGAGTTGTGGCAGAATAACCAAAAACACTGCGCGGAGAGACTGCTTCCCGATGTGATTCCAGGATTTGTAATGTCTGCATAAAAAAAGAAACATGGAATTTTTTCCATAGGCGCGAACACGTGTGTCGAGTCTAGACATCTAGACCACGAGTTGGGCAAGTTCAGTGCACACAAGTTACATGTAATGTAGCATATGCAGGCAGTGTTCAGCATGCAACACACAGGATGCTGAAGGTGAAGTTCTCGTGCCCTACTTGACGAGCAAAGCAACAAGGCGACCATCCCCGACGGAATGAATGTTGATTAACCATGGCCGCTGGAGTAATCGCTACTCCATGCTGGATTCCTACACCTGACCTGTGAGTCGTGCATTGTTGAACTATGTAAGCCAGCAGGTCCCGCTCCAGACGCGACTGGGTTGTTGGTGCCCTCGCTGCAGATCAATATAGAGAGCGAAACTGAGACGAAAAGCCAAATCGTCGCCCTCGCCGCGAACTTAGGTGTGCCCCGTTGAAGCGCAGCGGTGGACATGGGCTGAGAAACCCTCACACTCACTGCACGCTGTCGCGCTGTCACTCCGGTGCCACCCCGGTGTCACTCCCTGGGTGCTCCGTGCCACTCTTGCTTGTTCCGCCGCAAAGTCGCGGCGCGCGCGTTGCCCAACATCGCCTCATTATGTTTCGAACACCCCCAACAAAATGTGCTGCTCTCTCTGCTGCCTGCTGCCCCGTGTGGTGTCACACGACTCAGGAAATCAGCATTGCACTACACGGGCGGCATACACGCGCGAAGATATGGCATCGACGTTGTCTCTAGTGAAGGGAGCTACTGCTTTGGTGAGCCTCCATGGTTTTACTCGTATGAGCAAGACACCCCTTGATTTTGATTTTTTTTGCTCCGTACTGGAACTCCTGCCTCCCAGGTCATGGCGGCGTGGTAGCGCGTTTGCAAGTCAAAGGTGACCCTTCAGCCCCTCGCCATATCAGCGTGATGATCCCAGCTATGTCGAGGTCACCCCACAACCCACCATTGCTGCTTCTCGTACCGAATTCGATCTCTTCTCAGGCCACCGCTGGTCTGGCGAACCTGCACAATGACGATGATCTGATAAGCTACGATTCCTTGGTGAAAGCCAGGGGCCTGCTCGACCTGATCTTCGAGCTTCCTTCTTTCGAGATGGAGCTAGGTGAGTTATCGGGTGCATACTTGATGCCCTACGTCGCTTGTGGGTAGACTATAGCACATGGTCTACGGAGACGCGGGAGTGAGCAACACCGTGATAGGAACTCATGATTCAATCAAAGCTCCGGCAGACACTCCCCAAGGCTGCAGCTACAGGCGGGATATGCATTCAATACCAAACTCTTTGCCGAACTTACAATACAAACAATGGGAGGCCCCGCAACAACATCGCGTGTCAAACACTAAAACGTGAAAGTCTTGAGCATCGAGTAGAATGTTAAGGTCAAATCAAATTACTCCGTCTGTCCGATCGGGCAGGGAGATATTCAGCGTCGTTAGAGCTCTGTGGAAGCATCCTGAATCGGTCAATCCGTCGGAGGCGACATGCATTGGAGAAGAAGCCGCCTGTGCGAACGAGAGGCCACAACATTCCATCGCAGTCGGTGAGTTTAGACTGGGCGCGCATAAATCCATTAAGAATATGCACCCGTGTTCAAAGGCTCGACAGCGAACCTCGTTATTTCCCACCTGTCTCTGTGATTTCTTAGAGTTACTGTAGTACAGGTTCCTCAAGGCTGCTACGACCCTCCTTGCGGTCGACGGTAACCACACCCTTTTGCTTTTCTCTTCGCATCATCTAGACGTCTTCGTCTTCGGGAGGTCAGGCAGCTGAGCACAAAAATGGTTCCTTCGCTGGAGCAGCGCCAGTAGGGTCGCCAACTCGTAGCATGAGCACCATGCCGACGGCTTGGGAGCCCGACGAGGCCCTGACGTTCGACTCCCTTGTAGGCAACGAAGCTGCAAAGAGGGCTCTGTTCGAGCACGTCGTGTTGCCGCTCAAACTATCAGAAGAAGCGCGAGGCTCCCTATTCGGTGTGTGGAAATATTTGGTTGGCCGTTGAGAACAACACGGATATGTTGCACAAGCCAGCGTGCCTAGCTTCCATACACCTCTGCAGAATTGTGCATATCAGGTTGGCTGCCTTTTAGCCTTCGTTACAACAGTAGTATCATGCATGACATGTCATAGTTTTGCACGAGCCATGATGTTCATGCGCATCATGGTTGCCTACGCCTGTGCTTTCGGGCCAAGTTCCACTGCCAGTCATACCCTCTGTGTGGCCCTTCAGTCGGTCTCAGGTCTTCAGGAAACAACGTCCTCCTCCATGGACCGCCGGGCACAGGCAAGACCACGATCGCCCAGGCGGCTAGTCAGGAGGCGGGCGCAGCCTTCTACTCTGTGGTTCCGAGTTCAATTCTATCCAAGTACCAGGGTGAGTGAGATTAAGTCATGCATGGGTTCAACCAAGATTCCAACCTAGGATGTTACTAGGCACTAAATATCGAGTCTGCCCAATGAAATATTCTGTGCACGTGATCCCCTCCGTCATTCGCTAAATACAACCTTTCTCCCTGTGTTTTGCATGTGTCTTCCCCGTCGATCGCCTATTGTCGAAACCTGCCGCGCTGTATGTTGCATGTGCCTACATTTTATTACAGGTGAAAGCGAGCGGGTCCTCCACCAGCTCTTTGACGACGCGAAGAAAACCAAGCCTAGCGTCATCTTTCTTGACGAGCTGGACGCTCTGGTACATGTTTGGCGTCTAACTGACTGGACAACGATTGTGGGAGGGGGCTACAAAGGGGTTATTCGTCCTGTATGAGCACGATACACTAATCACTTTTGTCACCGCTGTGGCGCGCAATGGCTGACCAACACTCATGCCAACTCCTCCGCCACACACTCCGTCGTTTCAGGCTCCGAGTCGAGATGCCCAAGATGATGGTGAGGTGTGCTTGGCTTTGTTTTGAGGGAGCGAGGTTAGCCCCCCCTGGGTTCGAAACGCTCGTTTGTTGGTTTTCACCGTCGGGTTCAAGGGCCGCTGAGCTATGTACGTTGTCGTGGCTGGGAGAAAGAACGGGGTTGTGCTTCTGTAGAGAGTATGGTCCAACTTTCAAGAGACCCGGACATCAGTTTCACGCATTCTAACACTGGCTGTCTCGGGTTGTGCTTCTGTAGAGAGTATGGCCCAACTTTCAAGAGACCCGGACATCAGTTTCACGCATTCTAACACTGGCTGTCTCTAACATTGACTGTTGCTGCCGTCCCAAGTTCAAACACGCCGCCTGCTGGCCGAGATCCTCCTCCAGACTTCTCAGCTTCGACCGAAGGATCAAGTTGTGATCATTGCCGCCACCAACCGCATGGGTAAGATTATTTCAACCGCATGGGTAAGCTTGTATGCGGGAGCTAACGAAGGTAGAAAAAACAATTTACAAAAAGATTGTCTGGCGTATAAACCTAAGGCAGGTAAATGCTTTGTTTATAACCCCCCCGCGCTTTCTACCACCTCTTCGCTAACGGTGGTTCTCATTTGCAGATGACATCGATATTGCTCTCCTGCGACGCTTCCATAGCCGTGTCTTTGTTGGTCCACCGAACCACAAGGAGAGGATGGACATGATCGTCAGCTTCATGGAAGGAATTGAGCACTCCCTCGACTCAACGCAGATATCGGCCCTGGCCGATCGTGTGTCCGAATGGAGCGGGTCTGATATCAAGGTTGTATACGTAGTGTAGACTCAGCAAGGGTGCGTGATGAGGAATTATTGCAGCAAACAAGCCTGAAACAATTGCAGCTTTGTGCGTGGAAACAGCCCAGTGCACGTTTGTTCGTCTCTACACCGTCTGTAAGTCCCCGGACAACTCGGATCTCGAGTAACATCACAGCGGGCGGAGTGCCCTTCTTTCATGTACCACTCATTTTCCGCCGCCATGATTCCTTCCGCCAGCAGAGTCTCTGCCGGGAGGCATGCATGGGACCAGTTCGTTCCCTATACGAACACGAAAGAGATCTGGAGAAAGTCTTTTCGCGTCAACCGCCCGGGGGGGGCGCAGTGGCGCTGAGACCCGTTGAGATGTCTGACTGTGGTGAGGAGTACTACAAGCCTTTTCGTCGGTGCTCGTAGTCGTAAAAGTTTTCATCAGGCCGTGCACAACGAAGGTACAAAAACATAGTTTTCGTAGTTGGCTGCACTCAGCGGCGGTGCGACTGGTTCTGGCACACCGTGGTGACGTCCGGCTTCCGAATATTTCCGCGTAGTCGCTAGCTGATACGCGCCCAACGCCGTGCGCATGCAACAGACACGGCGTACAGAACCCTTATGGGCAGCTCGGTGTCCCTGAACCAAGACCAAGGCCATCACCAAGTTCTAGAGACCGAAGAGCTTGTAGGCGACGAGCTCATCGGAGAGGCGGACGGACAGACGGAAGAACGTGGGGTCGGAGAAGAGCTGGCCTGTACGGAGCGAGGGTCGCAGCAAGGCTTCGTTGATGAAGCGGCTTCAGAGATGGGGGACTAGCATACTCTGGGAAAGTGATGAGCATAGTTGATCGATCAATAGTTCGTGGATATTGATCCTTGAGACACATGTTCCGTTCGCTGCTGTTGACACAAAAAAAGCAAGCCACAGAAACGGGGAATCTCTCAGTCGATGAGATACACGTGCTAGGTACAGGTAGCTTTGAAGCTACATAGGCAATACAATCACAGAACAAGTGACGAAGTAAGAACTCGGCCATGAATGATGATTAGTTATTGGATTGCAGTTGTAGAGGGGACTGTAGGTTCGCGACGGTACCCGGGACGGTGGCGGGTGGCCCTCGTTGCCGTGGGTACGTTCACTGATCTACGCGGCTCATACATACCAAGAGAGACGTCTGGAATGTATCGGCACAGTGTTGTCTGCCAGAGAAGCACCACCCTCTTTGCGACATCACGCGCTGCTCACAGCCGCGGGCGTAGGCGTCAATTTGTTTTATTGTTGTGTTGTGTACCACATGAATACGAAGGGCATACAGACCTATCGTCCTTTCCTTGTTTCTGAGAGGCGACGTGGATCACCGACTCTAGGGTTGTTTCTCGTACGCCGCTATGCCAACGACGAAAAGCTCGGGGTGTTGCACTAACAATCCCCGAACCCGTCAACCCGTAAATATCGCCGTTCGGTTCAGCATGCGCATAGCATCCTTCCAACGTGAAGCTATTCTGAACGTCGGGGATTAGGAGCCAACATACCTCGTTTATTTATCTCATCGCCCCCCCTCGCGGGTCTGATTTGCTGGCTTGGCTACCGCCCCCACTGCCACCCACGCGTTCCCCCAACACACTGTCGGTCAAAATTTCGGCGTACCAGCGCTTTTGTTACTACCGGGGGGAGATCCGGTGTGGATCTGCAAGCAATGTTTCCATCAGCGTAAAATCGAGCACCACCTCGCTGGTAATTCTTCTGACAAACACACAAGCAAGTTGCGCTATTGTAGGTGACAAATTTAAAGAACGAGACCAGCACCCCCAGGGACGTTTCGCCCCGACATCATTTTTCTGTTTCTTTTTCTCCCCCCTCTGCCATTGAGAACGCCCCGAGGATGTTAGTTAAAAAAAAATGTTACTGCGCCCTGTTCGTGCCTCCGCGCCTTCCCGCGGTATTTGGGTTGCGTATGGGGACTTTGTTAACCCAGGACCGAAGTCGACGATACAAACCGTGATAAACACAAAAACGTGCTCCTTCAGCACACATAGTAGAGAAGATAAAATTACACACGAACTGCGCGTGTTCTCTCTCGAGGGGCCCCGCACTCGGACCCCTAACCGCATACACCCCCTACACACATACTTCCTATGGCGTTAGAGCCTCCATTCCTCACTTGGAGGTATGTATGGTACGGTCCTACCACCGAGTTGCATCGCTAGATGTGCGCTCTTTATATGTTTTCCGGCGCATTGGTCGGGACTTGACCCAGTTGGGAGGGCTAGGTCGACACGTCTAGCAGCTACACGGGATGAAAATCTTCTACGTACCTTTTTCGTGCTACTTTTTGCTCACGTCCTTTGGAAATCTAGGCTGCTGCAAGATAACTCTCGCGTATCTCTCGCTGTTTCCTATCTCCGACAACTATGTGAAAGACACGACAACAACGTCGTTTGGTTGACACAATGGGGTGGAAAGTATCCTTCTTCCTGCCGTGACCACACGAAAATCAACAGAGTTTCCCCAAGACTCCCCAGGGGCAACTAAATATGAGGCTGCACAGACTTTTACCTCATGGAGGAACCGAACAACGGTGTCTCAGCACAAGGTGCTCAAGTCGAAAGCAACAGCTAACACCGCCGCCGTATTTGCACGGCCCAAGCAGGACAAAACCGGTGGCGACCCGGAGCAGACGGCGGCTGTCGAGGTGGTCTAGGGCGAGTGGAGCTCCGGCCCCGTCGGGTTCGAAACGTGGCCCACGGGCCGGCAGGAAGAGGAAATCCCTCCAGAGTATCTTTCGCTCATGCGTGAACCCACGATCCTGGAGGTGGCAGTGTGAAGGAAATATCAATCGTGGAGTCTCAGGTGATTGTTTTGTTGATTTTCCCCAATTTTTTGGGAAAATCAAACAAAATAAATGCCTGGGACTCCACAGTTGATGTGTCACTCAGCCACTTCTAGGATCGAGGGTTCACGCATGAGCGAAAGGTACTCCGCAGGGATTTACTCCGCTGCCTGCTCCCGGTCGTCACATGTCTTGTCATCGGACCGTGCAATCACTGCGGTGCCGTTGGTCGTGGCTTGCGACCTCTACACCTAGTGAAGAAAAGCCGTTTTGTTCGGTTCCTCCACGAGGTAAGTCTTGTGCAGACTCGTGTGTTCTTGCCCCTGGGGGTCTTCCGGTAGTGCTGTAGATTTTCGTGCGGCCATGACAGGAAGAAAAATATTTCCATCACGCCATTGTGTCAACCAAACGACTTGTTTTCTTGACCGTTCACTCTTTCGTTGGAGGTGTGCAGGAAACTATAAGAGCTATATTGCAACAGCCTATATTTTAAAAGGAAGTGAACAAACGGAGCACGAGAAAAGTAGAAGAACCTTCACCTGGTGCGATCACTAGACTTTACGGCACAGCCCTCCCAGCTGGGCCACTTGCCCGAAAACCCGCCCAAAATATATATAACAACTGCCCGCGAGTACATCATTTGTTTCGTTGGTAGGACCTCGGTAGTACTATACATACCTCATACCTCCAAGTCAAGAATGGAGGCTCTAACACCTTGGCATCCCTTTTCGTCGGGGTGCCGGTCCGGCTCGCCACCCGTCGTTGACAAGGGGCGGTTCGGCAGGTCATCCGGCTTCGGGAAGTGGCAATGCCTCATGCCTCGTCCCGTGGGGTCAAATTCGGCAAGATTGCAAGCCCTGAGGCGTGTGCAAATGCTGTAAGACGTCGGGCAAGGGAAAGGGAAAGAAATGGCAAACAGATATCGAGGCCAGGGGTCATAACCTGATTCGAGGTACGAGGTTATGAGTGGTTGCTGCGTCCATAATTTAGCCAGCAATCAAATATATCCATGTGTTCTTTTCGTGCTGATTCGCCCGGCTGAACTATAGAAAACGGCACTGTACAAAAATGCTTAGTGCCAAACGCATCATATCGATGGCAAAACTGACCAGCGACAACCACCGTTCTTCACGGCGGCCTAGCGTAATGCCGACAACACCCGCATGCCGCATGGGAACCAACTAACAGCGCACTATGCCTACCGTCGACAAGAACCACCTGCTTGTCGTAAACAATCGACCGGGGACCCTGGTCGTAGCTGAATCGTAAACGTCGGAAACGTTCCGTAGCGGAACAACGGGACAAATGCATTGTGCGTACCCTACGGTACGGAAGACCTTCCGCCACGGTTATATAAATATGCCAAATGAAACACAAACTATTATTCATGAAATACAATCAAGGACCTTTGCAAACACACCAAAAGTCTAGAAATATGGCGTTAAACTATGCCTTTGTACACGGAGAGCTCAATGCTGCGTCTGCAACAACTCGCCTTGCTTTTGTCATCGCAGCCTATTGAACAGCTGGTGCCAGGGCCTATTCACCATCACACTCGGCATGATCACTGGTGGGTTGGAGCTGCTGAAAAACAACATGTTTCGCACAGCGGGTGAGAAGAAGAGACATGGAACTGTTGAGAGCTAACCCCGCTAACATGGCACTGCTGCAACCTCAACCTATAATCAGTTTAGCGTACCGTTGGACAGGAGAAGGTGCGGGTGCGATACAGGTTGAGAGTTATGGACATGCACAGATTATAGTGGAAACATCACATGGATGGGTGAAGACTCAAACAACTGAATCTAAAATATATCCATTTGTTAGAGCGCGAGCGCTAGCTTTGCATCATGCCAATAGCGCACAACAGGCGCTTAGAAATGGTGACGGATGTTCATCTGCAAGGACCTCGCGGATCCACGAGCAGAAGGCACCACGCGCGTCACACAAAAAGACAAGGGGTGGGGGGATTTCACACTCTTCTGGCCATCTAGAAAGTGGAACCAAACGTATTGTGGGGTTAAAGAGCATCTTGAACTTCTAAATCGAGGGAACCCCACGACGTTCTTCCTTTTCAGCTCATCTCGAGCAGAAATATAGCCTTGGAACGAAGGATCAAGCACGGAGCAAAGAGAGCAAACGCCTACGCGGTACATTTGTGGCTTGCAGAGAGCCACACAACAGACATAGAGAGGATATCTGGGGTCGACTACATATACCGAAGTGCCAAAGGCTCCCCCTTCCCTTCTACCGCACCTGCAACCTCTCACCGTTGTACCATAGGTGCAATCGTGCCGGTGCCTTTCGCTGCTGGCGTCGGTTCCCCGTGTGCACGGCGGGTAGGGTGCGCTGCGTGTCGTGCATGTATAGACCATGTATCCTAAATCAAAGCAGGTTCGCCGCAAACTGAAGCAGGGGTGGGAGATATCAAAGGTGCACGTAAAAATTGTCGTCCCTAAGCAACAGAGATCATGGGAGTGTCGCAAGTGACGCGGTGGTTAGTCACCGTTGTGTGTGTCTTCGTGTAAGCATCCTTGTGTCAGATAAATTGCCAGAGGTTTACAGGTGCTCCCCGCCGCTGATCCTGTCGTGCCTTATGGACACGTATGACCCAAGCAGCAGACGAGGGTAACCGTGGAGATGAAACATGGTAAGTTCATAGGAGAAGTAAAAAGTTTTATCCCTCGATCTTGTGCGTGAGTTCAGGGCCATGCTCAATCTAACAACAGCGTGTTGCGTTTAAGGGGGGTTGAGTTCTGCATAGCCTAGAGAACAATCGTGATCACGCGAAAGACTCTACCGCCTGTAGTCTAAAAGTGGTCATGAACTATATACCCTTGGTTCGTTGGTATGTATGCTGGCACCAACATTGTGACTTTGTGTGATTTAGTTAAGATTTCTAAGCTGCTACAGTACATCCAAGACAGTTTTCTTTCGCGTTGTACTCATCCAGCAGCCAACAACGTAAGACATATTCTAGGTGAAATATCCATGCATGGGTTGAGGTTCGAAAATAGCAGAGCGGAACGAGTGCAAAGCCCCGTCAGGCAGACAGTCAGAAAGACGGAGTACAGATGACACACGAAGAGAGCACACACAACGACGGTCCCTCTTGTTTTGATTAGACTAATGTACATAGTGCTGCACCGCTATGCACATTTTCTTTTCGAAGAGTGTAACGGTATTTGATTTGAGTTACAGTGCACGCCTCTTTCACACCCTTCGAGGGCATCAAGATCGCACCGCGTGTGTCTCTACCATAGCGCACGTGTCAGCTATGGTTCATTGTGAACATCGAGGTCACACTGCGGACGAAATAAGGTGACGATGTTTGAAATGTGTAGGAGTATACAGCAGTAGTCTATGATACTCACCTCATCTCCTTCGGGTTTGTGCCGGCACAAACAACACCACGCAGCCAGTAACGAGAACCGAAAGGCTTCCTTGTGCCTATTGCGGCATGCGTATACTTGTGACATGGTACGGTATGCGACGTATGTGAGAGTGCGACTTTCGTCGCACACAACCCCCAAGTATGTGTGCGGCTGATGTGCGGAAGGAGTTCATCCGAAAGATCGCTTAGTATCAATGGTTGAAAGATAAAAAAACGGTCGACCAAACACCAACGTCAAATTGGCTTGTTGAACGGAATGGCGGTACGAGTAAAAGGTGTATGCGTGTTTCCTAGACGCCCTATTGCTGTGTCACCTCCGTGAAACAAACTACCCGTCGTGACCAACCGGCTGCCGATTGACCAGCGATTGTCTGTTTGTCCATTCGCGATCTTGGTCGCCAGAATCGGGACTGTCGACAAATTCCACCACCGACCGACACGCCTCGTTCAAGAAAACGGGTGTGAAACGGTTTTAGATATAGATATGTGCTTCGTCTGGACCTTCTTGCCCTCTTCCCTGACTTCGTTGTGTTATGCACTTTTACACCCGCAACGAACATGACAACTTGATGCGCCAGTCTGCCCGTATGGTCAATTGTGACCCACCGTCCGTTTTCTAGGTCCGAATGCATGGGGCCATAAAAAACACATCGCATGTGTTGTACGAAGAAGGCGTTTTGGTTCTCGTCAAATCTGTCGCGCGCGGCGAAGCTACTAACTCAAGAGCGAGGGGAGGCGAGAGAAAGAGAGGGAAGTAGAGAGAGAACGTAGGCTTACCTCGGATCCAACTTCCTCAGATGAAGGGGTCGGGCTTTAATGGACACCTTGAACTTCCAAAGCCGTCAAGACAGCTGATCGGAGTCCGGAGTCACGATGAACTACACACGCTGTTGCGGGTGAGCACATGCAGAGATCTCGAAAGATACGGCTATCCACCGCCACTCGACAGCGATCCCGCCCGCTGTCGACACGCATCAATCGTTGCGTATCGAGTTCATGGGAGTACGCCTCCAACACCCCAAAGGATGGCGATCGGAGTGGGGCAGTAGGTAGAGCCGGAATATATTTCGATGCTATCCCCTACTATTTGTAGCATGTACGGCAAAGCAGGCTACTGGTACATGGATTCAGTATTTTTTGGAGCCATAGAAATCGAACAGTCAAGCAAGAGTCAAGTGTTGATTAGTACGGGCAGATTGAGGTCTTGGGTCAGGAGATCGGAACGGTTATTAATGTGAACATAACAACAGCAACATCAATATTCGTGCAGGTGCTCGGTTCACAACATGATAATGAATGGTTCAGTATATCGCAACCTTCTGACAAATCTCGGTGCAGTCACACGAACTAGGATTTTGCTCGCAATAATGCATTTTCCTACACAGCAGTACAAGTGGAAAGCGATGTTTTTGCATGTAAGTCGTACTTCGACATCAGCAGTCGACGAGGGAAAAGGAACAGCTGAAACTCGCCATAATAGTTTAAGGCAAGCACCGCAGAAGGAAGGCGGAGAAAACACTAATATTATTGCAGTGTAGTGCGTGGCCTTTCTCCCGTGTGACCCCGGTTGTTGCGTCCAGAATATATACCGAAAGTTGAACCGGAAGGTGGAAACGCACATGTTCAGAGCAGATGGGATGGCAAGAAAAATGGTGTGTGCCGCAGTCTATCTAGACCCCAAGGAGCTGTTCCGTTGCCATTTTCGGCTTCTCTACAGTGCGACACTGAACAAACTCGTGCATGTACTCGTCACCCAAATACAAATATTTTGTTGCTGTTCGTTTGGAACCTAGGCAAGACAACAGGAGGTGGTACGGAAGGAAGGGGCGGATCCGGCAGCCGACCTTAGACGGCAAGAGGAGAAAGGGGCGCTCAGTCCTAGGAGCTTGTACCAAAAGAACAAAATCGCGCGGGAGCAGCTATCTCTGCAACTTCTGATGCATCTCAACGGCGAGCAAATGGCCAGCATCAAGGCAAGCGCAGTTTGCTACTGTAAATCATGGTCGAAACTGGCCCGCGTCAGATCGTGTTCTTAACTTAGGTATGCTCTCCTCTGCATGAACAACGAGGAAACAGTCACAACTTTGAGATGGGATGTGCTGGTGATGATGTGTGACGGTTTATCTCAAATATTTCCGCACTGGCGCGCGTACAACGTGCCAGTACACTATGGGCGAGGATTTTTGGTGGTATGACCCGACAAATCACACGTTACCCCTGAAATTGCGTCTCGCGTGAGCAGTTCTGGTGATTCCCAGGATAGCGGGATATGTTTCTACAACAAGTTTTGTATGCAACGCTGGTTCGTTCGAGCTCATTGGTCATGGCAGAACCCGACCATAGATCTTGGGCCATAGAAAGCATTACATTATGATCGACGGATGAGCACGCATGTATGAAATGAATGTGTCGCAAAATTCAGGCTGAATTTCATGCCCACGACGACGAAGTGGACCTGGAAGACTTCTGCGACATCATGGAGAGACACCAGCCTGAAAACCTCGTCGTGACCAATTCGGGCGGGAGTGATGGAGGCGACAGCGATGGCGAAGGTGATGGCCATGAGAACGACGACGATCCGACTGATGGCGGTGCTGGCGGGCGAGCAAACAAGAAGGATGCTGGAGGTGGAGCTGGCGGCGGCGGCGTTGGAATTGGGGGTGGAAAAGTCGTGTTTACTCGAGAGGAAGTAATCTCCAACCTCGTCGAGCTTTTCAAAGAGGTGAGGGAGTTTGCACACTACATGACGGAAAACGTGGAAATTGTATTGAATTTTGAAACATTGTTCGTTCTGTTTCTGTCGGATAAAATACACTGCGCGTGGAAACACGGCAACACGGTAACATCACGGCACCATACGACGTCGATCAGAATAAAATCATGGTATGATGTGTCGTGCACTCGAGAGACAGCAAATGTTTAATAAGAAACAAAACCCTCCAAGACGGGATCAATGTTGGATGTACACGTTGGTCGAGGGTGTCCTCTTAAGCAAGGAAACTTCGAACGTAATTATTTAGTCCACCCGTGACAGAGTCCCTGTGCGTTTTGTGTATACCACGCTCTGCCGCTGTATGTTTGCCCAAGGTCGACATCAATGGAGACGGTATGATGGAGTGGGATGAGTTCACGCGCTTTGTGGTGGTCAAAGCGCAGCTACACCACGCGCAGATGAGCATCGACCAACTCGCGGAGTACCGCCAGGGGTCTAGACAGGTGAGAGAGTAACTCGGCGCACGCGCCCGCTGGGAGTAAGTTTTCAACTTTTCGTATGGGTGGAACTGAGATAAAAACGGTTGCTCGTGGCGCATGAAGTTCGGACATTCCCGTGTAGAGCAGGGAATTTTCGTGCGGCTGTTTCGCTTGTGTAGCACGAATTCGACCAAGAATGGCCTCACATCAACAAGTTGCTGCTCGCTCTGACAATCAAAGTGTACAATTCACTGCTAAGACCATACGATGGACTCCTAGCACAGCAGAGCCGGACACCCCCCTTTGAGTATGTTTCGAAAACCAACGAGTGTTGTTCTCGCATCGCGCGGGCTTTACACGCAGGTAGAGGTGGTGAGTTACAACCGAAGCTGCGAGACTGTGGAGCAGTTATGTTATATTCCGGGCTCCCACCAGCTGGCTGTCATACAGGTTTGTTATTTTTGTTGTGTTTACCGTCGATGTCGTGTCGGTCCGAGAGCCCGCCTTGCTCGCCGACCCTCTCTCCCAAAACAAATTCCATTGAGGAATCTAGACGTGTTCAGGTTCTTGAAGCGCAGGTATTTCGCAGACGATGTGGTTGCCATTAACCGCAACCCTGAAGGTTGGGTGAGACGGAGACGTCATCGTATCGGGATTTTACATGTACGAACAAACCTAATCCCTGCACCCTCTGGTTTGCGTGCTTTACACCACCACCACGAACAACAACAACAACAACAACGACAACAATAAGGAGCACAACCCGATTGTCAACATCTACAACTCGCACTCATGGGCGAGGGCGGCGCAGCTCAAACACAACGCGGTGCGTGACATGGAGAACAGTGGAATTGCTACATTGCTGGATCCGAGGGTTGGGAACTGAGTGTCACAAACATCGCCACCATTTGGTTGAGTACTGCTCTAGAGGAGCGCTGAACAATAGAGAGCGGAGAGTGTGCCGACCAGACACAGGGAACTAGGCTCACTCTTGGTGTGATTGAAAGCGGCCAAATATTGCAAAACCTGGATGACGGCCAAAAACCCGCCAGTATCGCGGCTGTCCTACATTGCCTCTTGCACACCACCGACAACAAACAACGTCGGCGACACCGAAAGCGAACCCGTTGTCTCACAACCGAAAAAAGGTGCCGCTTACGATGGCCTACTGTGGGGACCACCATACCCTGGTCACCGCCTCGGCCGATATGACGCTGCTGCAGTGGTACCTTGACGATATCCCCTCCATCAAGCACTTCACGCTGAAAAGCAGATGGCCCACCAAACACGCGGCGATGTCCATGTGCTGGTCGAGCTCTCACCGCCTGCTTTACTCGGGAACTACCGCTGGATCCATTCAAGGTAGAGTGTCAGTGGTAGTAGCAGTAGCAGCACAGGGTCGCGGCGGTTAGAGTAAGCGACCTCGCACGAGAGACTAGAGAGGAGTGTGCCGTACTCACAGTTCGCATAATGTTTACAAGCTGCTGACTGCAAATAGCATTGGGTGGGATGGTAGGGGCGCACGAGGACGGACGGGAATAAACTAGTGTTTAATTTTGTCCTGAATAATGTTCGAGTTTTCTGTCCAACGATCCAGCGACAACTTGGCTTTCAATCCCGCACTCAACGATTGTCCGTTTAAAACTTATTCCTTAGTCTTGGGTTTGATCCTCTATTGTGAAAGGCGACTTTATAGAATACAATCAAGTTCCTGCGATACGGTTGCACAAGAGTGCCTGAGGACAATCCTGCTTCGCGTCGTGCATATTCTACTTCGAAGTGCTCGGCACCGCGCTGACATGTTGCTCGTCTTTCAAAACATGTTTTCTTTGCGTGAAGTCCACGTGAGCCTGTAATCAAGTCATGTGATCCGTAGACCACACACAAGAAAACACACGGCATCTATCTGTCTCTTTTCTTGACAAGGGTGGGACATCGGTGAGCGGCAGGAGATGGTCACGCTCAAAGGACACTCGGATATCGTCATGGGCATGATGGTTATGAGCTCGCTCGACAACCTCGTTTCCGCCAGTCTCGACACCAGCATTCGCGTGTGGGACACTTACACCCAAAAGCCCGTTCAGACGTTGCAAGGTCACAACAAGGTGCGCTCCGCCGCTGAAATAACAAGAACGAGAGAGATAAGCTGTGAATTTGTGCATGTCATGGAGCACACTGTGTATACTTCGTAGCACATAGAGGATATGTACCCTTGAATTGCAAGACCATGTGTGCAGACATGGATGGTGTTTGGAATAGGGTACAAAGTGGACAAAAGCCCAGGTAACGGGCACATGTTGTCGGTTTCCAAGAAGCTGAATCGTACCTATATTGGGCGTGTTTTCGATTAGGTTGAACCCTTGGTGCCCCTCGCAGGCCATATCTCAGTTATTCCGATCCCATCTCATTCGATCCGTTGCATTGCTTTCCCCGTCTTTCCCTCGGCACCACAGGGGGTACACTCCTTGAGTTATAGCTCTCAGTACCGGTGCCTTGTTTCGGCGGGGTTCGACCACGAAGCTCACGTCTGGTGAGAGAAGCATATTCGATACATACATTAGATTGAGCCAATGTTGTTTCGCGGAGGCTCGTTAATTTGAATGAAGCACGGTCCAACCACATTTGGTCAAGGGTGTTGCCACCTTGTCGCCCAGGCGATGCTCTGGATCTCTGAAACTACCTAAAATGTGCGACGATACTTTCCCGCTCCCCCCCCCCCCCCCCCC